GGTGTCCATGGTCGAGGAATGTGACGAAGGGATTGATATAAGAGCGGCAGCGTCGGCAACGGGAGATGACCTGATCGGGAATGACTGGGATGGGGTCTTCGGAGTCGTGCAGCGCTGCATATGGCTGGATGACAAGCGCGAAGGGCAGCTTGGACTTCTTCAGGAGCGAGTGCGTCGTAGGAACCGCATTCAATGTGGAGCGAACGTATTTCGGGGGGCAATTGGCATAGGGAGAGGGGTAAACGCTGGTCTAATGAGCGAAGTTAGCGTTTCCGTCCGTGTTATGGAGAACGGTTATGGAGAACGGCCATGGGCACTTACACCCGGCGGCAGAACGATAGGAGGCGGGGGGTAGTCGAGTTCGGCAACGTTGAACGGCTGGGTGAGGAGGTCTGTAGGATAGAGCTGGTTGAGAGGGACTGCCCGCGGAGCCTGGGGGGCTTGAGCCACGGGCTGCGGCGGCATCAAGTGTGGATCGGTGACTCCCATAGCACCGAATTGCTGGGTCATCTGTGCGACCGGCGGGGAGGCGGGCGCCCCGTAAGTTGGGGCAGCGGCGTGCATCTGAGTAGGGTCTGCGTAGGCGGGTTGCTGGTATCCCGCAGCCGCTGGTGCTTGCGCCGGGTACGCACCATAGCTACCACCGGCCGGTAACTGGCCTCCTAAGGCAGCATTGGCGCCGGAGCCGAAGTCGAAGGCTTCGCCTGCATATTGTCTCTTCTTTCGTGCGCCAGCCTGGCCCTGCCCCGCGGGCTGTTGTTGTTCGGGAGTTCCGTAACCAACAGGCTGACCGTACCCTTCTTGGGGAGGATAACCCCCTTGCGGTGCTGCCATGGAGGTCGGCTGTGATTTATGACTGTAAACGGGTATAGTGGGAGTTGTGCGGGATGGTTTGTGAATCGTTGCAAGGTCACTGGGGCCAAGGGGCGATGGTTAGTCGACAATTCGAAACAGGTGGGAGAGTTTAGGGAGGGGAACGGAGAGCGACTGGGTACCAATGACCGGGGATAGATTCACCAAACCGCACGGGGTTGGAGAGGCTCTGAGAGTCAAGCAGGAGAGCACGTAGATGTGAGACTCCGGCGAGAAAGAGGGAAATGCAACCAGGAGAAGATAGGTGGTGAGTTGTGTCAAAGTCAAGGGCGCAGCGTAATTAGGTAGAGTCGTAGAGTCGAGTTGGTAGTGACCAGTGGATGGTGGATGGTGTACGGTGGCCTTTGCGGCTGCCGCCAACCGGCCAATCAGCACCTCACCGCATCCGAGCCCGACTTGCTCCTTTACAAGCAAGCTTCCTCTTAGTTATACCTTCAACTCTAAAACTCGTACTCTGGAAATGATCTACTGACGATACTTGGCTGTGACAATACATTTTGGGGTCGAAATTCAGCAGTGATTGATGGTGTTCGACATATGACTATGGATGCCTCTTGCAAGCTGTGTGGTGTGGCATAATGATCTCATACTATCTAGTACAGTTACTAAGAAGATTTTCACCTGGGCATGGGGTATCGCTACCATGGATTGATTAGTTCGTGCCCTTGTCTACTAGACCTAAATGACCTTTGCTGCTTGTCACTTTCAACATCTTCCTGCCTTACTTCGTATCCAGGGGTTCTGTCCTAATCAAGTGTTGTTTCTATATAAATATCAAAGACAATGGCTGGCAGGGGGATATTGGGATCGGCTGATTGTGGCAGAAGTGGCAGACAGAGGTGACTGGGTCGGTATCAAAGTTGAAATCGCCATCAGAGTTGTAGTGTATCAAGAACTAAGTATGGATATACAGTCTCTATCAAGTACTGCCATGTACTCGTAGTTCCCACATGTGCAGGCGGGAAGACGAACAAGCACGGAGAACGTGGGCGTGGTTGCCGTGCCAACAGCGGTGACCGCTGCCAGTCGCACCACAACGCAACGAGGCTATCCCTGTCGCTTTCGTCAATTCGAGCCCATCTCGTCATCAACGGCCCTTCACCACCACTCGCACTCCCTTGTGCAGAATCCGCGTTCGATCAATTTGTTTGCTGCGCTGTGGTCTTGTCAACGAAAAGTCAATTGTGCAACTTTTGTACTAGAATCTGGCACCGGCCTAATATTGCGACGTTGAGCGACAGTCCCGGTTCTTACGCCCACCCCAACCCATATTTGATGACTTTAATACCCACGCCTTCAAGGTTCGGAGCATAATTGGTCGGCACGGTCGGTTCAAAAGGGCACGAACAACCTGGACAAGCACGAACTTTCGGTTCCATTCAATATTTGAGTTTGGAAATCAGTGTACTTTGGTTGTGCTGGCACATATTCCATAATACACAATGAGTGTTCGGGTCGTCGCACGTATTCGACCTCTGCTTAAGTCGGAGCGCGACTTGGACGTCATTCTTCGCACTGGTCCGTCTGCCCACGGCGCTGACAAGAAGTCCACCACCCAAGAGAAAGGAGCATTGGCAACACTGAGGGATAGGGATACTGTTGTACGGATCCCAAACCCAAAGAATGAGAGCGAAGAATACTCCTTCCAGTTCAATGCTGTCTACGAGGCGGAAGCCACACAGCAGGAGCTGTATGAGGCTGAGGGTGAGTCCTGGGAATTCAAGTCATGGAATATACCCATCTGATTCAATGCACAGTTGCACCGACCGTCAAACACCTCTTCAACGGTTTCGATGTCACACTTTTCGCATACGGAGTTACGGGTACAGGAAAGACGCACACCATGCGAGGCGGAAAAAGCCTGGTTGATAGAGGCGTTATCCCTCGTCTCCTCAGCAGCATATACAGGCGCAGCCGAAAAATGGAGAAGGAAAGCAATGGCGAAACCACGGTCAACGTTTCTTTGAGTTACTACGAGATCTACAACGACAAGGTTTTCGACCTGTTCGAGCCGCCAGAAAAGAGAACATTGGCAGGCCTCCCCCTCCGTGATAATGGAGGCAAGACTGTGGTTGTGGGCCTGACGGAGAGACCATGCCACAACCTCAAGGAATTTGAGATCTTGTATGATCAGGCAAACATCAACAGATCGACGTCTGCCACCAAGGTGTGTACCCATGCTCTTCAATATGAAGCTTGATTGCTCACTTCGCTACAGCTAAATGCCCACTCATCACGATCTCACGCCATCCTCTGTGTGCGCGTGACAGTGAGCACTGGTGACAAAACCTGCGTCAGCACTGCGTCAGCCATTGATCTTGCCGGCTCGGAGGACAACCGTCGGACTGACAATGACAAGGAGCGCATGGTCGAATCTGCCAGTATTAACAAGAGTCTATTTGTCCTCGCTCAGTGCGTGGAAGCGATCAGCAAGAAGCACTCTAGAATTCCATACCGCGAATCGAAAATGACTCGGATCCTCTCTTTGGGCCAGAACAATGGGCTGACGGTCATGATTTTGAACCTCGCCCCTGTCAAGTCCTATCACCTGGATACAATCAGCTCCCTCAACTTCGCCAACCGAACGAAGAAGATTGAAGTGCGCGAAGTGGAAAATGAACCCATCTTCAAGGGACCCCCCAGGCCGGTGGCACGGCCTTCAATCATGGGCACGCTGCGCCAACCCTTGCGCCCTCTGACTGCATCCGTCAATGTAAACCTAACCACAACGGCAGCCAAAGACGCTGCGGACCCTGGCGAAAAGCCGCTGAAAGCATTCCACGTCTACTCCGACAAGTCACAACCGCGCTACTCCACCCAGTTCAAGAAGCCCGATTTACCGAAGCGTACATCTCTCAGCGCTGATACTACCGTTCGAATCACGAAACAGCCCACGCGTCTCGCGCAACCGACTCACCAGCAGCCATCAAAGCAATTCGAGGACTTCTCAGCCGCGAGGATTGAGGAAATGGTTGAGAGAAAAGTCGAGGAAATCCTCGCTGTGCGAGCGGTCAGCGAGCAGTCACGACAGACGCAAGTTCGCGAGCTCAATGAGCAAGTGCAACGCCGCTTGGAGCTTCTCGAGCAACGGATTGAGGGCTCGGAAGATGCGCGAGCGGAGGGTCTGTCATACCTTCTCATGGCCAAACAGCACCAAGGCCGTGGAGAGGACAACTTTGCTCTCAAGATGTACCAACTGGCACTTCCATTCTTCCCCCAAAACGAGAAGCTAGCTCGGAAGATCGCCAATCTGAAGGAACGTATTCATGGTAAATCCCACACGGACACCCCAGCTGTCGACACGACCAGCAGCACCGTCAATTCTCACCCCAGCAAGCGTGACTTCGGAAGCATGCTGTCCCTCAAGAAGCAACCCGTCGCCAAAACAACCCTTAAACGCACCAACGCGGACGATTCTGACGCAGACTACGAGCCTGCCGACGACGAAAATACCCAGCAAGTAGTTAATCAAGACGAAGAGATCGAGGAAATCGAGGTCGACCTCGAAGAGATCGCCCATGCCCGGCGGCGGAAGCGCACCCGCACTAAAACCCCCATCGATATGGCCGAAGAATTCGAGCCTCCATCCCCAAGAACCATCCACCTCCTCTCCATCATCAACTCCCGTGACGTGAGTCAGATCAAGCTCCTGAAAGGCGTGGGGGTCAAAAAGGCCGAGGCCATCGTCGACTGTCTCTGCGAGATGGATCAGCATGTCGAGAGCCCGGAACTGGAGCAAGAGCAAGCCGCCGCCGCAGCAGCTCAAGTCCACATCCACAGTCTCGCAGAGCTGAGCAAGCTGAAAGGAGTGGGGCTGAAGAGTGTTCAGAGCATGCGCAATGGCGTTTTGGTATAGAAGACTTCTTCCACTTTTTGTCAAGCGATATTTGGATTTCCCTTTGAGAAGGCAGGATCTTGCCATCTTAGGTCTGCATTTTGCGTGTTCGCTCTCTTTTTTTTTTTTTTTTCTTTTTCCTCTTCTGCATTTGCACATATGCATTTTTGGGATTAACCATCATTGACCCCATCGAGCGAGGGCGTTATTCTGGAGTTGGAAGTCGGAAATAGGAGTTCGAGGGAAGAATCTTTGAGTTACATGATTTGAAATTACTTTACCATTCTTGATTAGGAGATACGCCCACTCTTAAACACACATATACTAGCTAGCAATATGATGATTGGACACAACATTTTGATCCCGTACCGTCTATAAATTCCCTTTTCCCTCTCCCTTCTGAATTACCCCGTCATTCATCCTTCCCCCCACCCCGGGAGAATGATAATCAAACCTTCTTGACGACCCTCCCCTCACTAATCCACAACTTCGCGAGACAATAAAACACCACCCCGGAGAACATCACCACCGCACAGAAGACATTCAGCTTGAGATACGACCCGCGCAGGGGGTCCGGGAGCAGGGCGCCCGCGATAGGCGTGCCGGTGAGGGCGGCGAAGCTAACCAGGAAGAAATACGTGCCGCTGCGGACGCCGATCTCGCGGATCTCGGAGATCTGGGCGACGAGGGCCGGGGCCAGGGAGACGGCGGTGCCCGAGCTGAAGCCGTAGAAGGCGCTGAAGAGGATGGAGGGGACGTTGCCGTGCGTGGGGAGCCAGACGCCCAGCACGAGGATCACCGACAGAAAGGTCATGAGGATCATCAGGTTGAAGCGGCCGAAGAGGTCGGCGAGGTAGGGCGGGATGATGCGGCCTGGGGTGCTGTTTTTGAGGGGGGCTGGTTAGGTTTGGGTTTTGGGCTGGAAGGGGGTTCATTTGGGGGAGGGGGCGAAGGTGGATGGGGGTGTTGCTTTGGGCCAAACGAACCTAGCGGCATTCATGATGGGAATCAGGTACGATGCTAGCGAGGCCGACATGCCGTTCTTCTGCGCCTGGCTGGGGATGAAGCTGAAGGGGAGGAACATGCCCCAGAAGAAGCAGAAGGTGCCGGCGGTGGTGAGCAGGAAGGGGACCTCGCGGAGGGGCCGCGCGAAGTCGCGGAAGTGGAACGGCTTGCGGCGGTGCTGGAGCCGCGATTTCAGCGTGCAGTTGGCGATGACCAGGCAGAACAGGATCAGGAACGCGCAGATGCGCACCGCCCAGCCGAAGTCGAGCTGGTCGAAGAGCCGGGTCAGCATGATCGGGAGGATCACGCCCCCCAGGCTGGCGCCGCTGGTGGCGATGCCGAGCGCGAGCGCGCGGCGGCGCCCGAACCAGGTGCTGATCGAGTTGATGCTGCAGTGGAAGAGGGCGCTGGTGCCAATTGGGCTGCAGAGGCCCTGCGCCAGGAGGAACTGGTAGTACTCCGAAGAGATGGAGATCATCATGAGGCCGAAGACGTGGAAGAAGGTGCCCGCTAGAACGATGTAGCGGGGTCCGAAGTTGTCGAAGAGGATCCCGACGAAGGGGCCCTTTGGGGTCATAGATGGCTCCTGGTCAGTTGCAAGGATGCGTAGGGCTGGCGTAGGGAGAGTAAACGGCATCGACGTACCCCGAAAAACATCATGAAAGTCATCAGAGACGTGACCCATGTCACAGTGCTTGTGGACTCGTCCTTCAGCTGGTGTGTCTTGTAATAATCGATGAAAATGCCCATGCCTGCGTTCGCTCATCAGCAACAGACCTCCACCCAAGCGATGATATCTTCATGTGCTGCGAGCCAGGAACTCACAGTTGACCCAGCCGAAGCTGACGAACATAGCGCAGAAGCCACCCAGAACAGTCAGCCACGCGGCCATACCCCCATCTGGAGCTCCCTGAGGCCCTTGTGCCAGCTGCGTCGTGGCCGCGGCAGCTCCTATCTTCTCCACTGAGTCGATCGTGTTGCTACTTCCTTCTTGCGCCGCCTCGAGAGGACGTTGCCGCCCGTCGACACGCTCGTCCTTGTCGGGTTCACCGTCGACCTGCGTGGTTGAAGTCGATCCATGGCTGTGATAGAGTTCATTGATGTCCTCCGCGGGAAGCTCACTCGGAAGGTCAAACTCGTGCGTTCGCATGTTGCTCGTCATCGTGCCCAAAGGCCTGGATACTCGTGTTCTCGTGGGCCACGATTCTCGTCCGTCCGACAGGTCACTTCAAGGGAGGCAAGGTAACCCTGCCACTATTCTTGTCAAGAACTGCCCTCTCAGCAGGAACAGTGATACAGAATGAGCCTCGATGAGAACGAGGCGCCGGCACGGGCCGGAGATAGAATTTTGAAATCGAACGGAGTCATTCGGGGGGATTTCGTCGCCATGGTGTGAGTTATTATCCCTTACGGGCAGACCAGCTAATGAACGAGTCGTTCAAAACAATCAGTACCAAGGGGGGTCTTGGCACAACAGAGAAGTCAGATATGATGGGCAAACCCTGATATCCCCGATCTATTGGAACCCCTTGCAGGACCCTTGGTCCGGAATGATGTTCACCTATTCCATACTTTGCGCCATTGCTGCCCGTGTTTACTGTATCTCATAATGAGCAAGTTCGAGAGATGAAGTGGCAGAAATTTAGAAAAGGCAGCAGACGATCCAAGCGCGATCAGCACGATATGGGATCGCATTCATGAAGAGAGTTTGGCGTACGGTCGGACGCATGCTGTCTATAGTACATTGAGCCTGCAATGAAAATGAACCCTCCAATAATTGAACTCGGACTTATGCAACGGAACAGGATAATCGAAACAGATTGCTTAAACACTCAACTGGCTTATTCCAGCTTCTCGAAAACCACCTTGCCATCCTTGGTGAGCCTGGCGACGCTCTGCGACGTGCCCTTTGCTTCTTGGAACAAGTCGTCCACCGTCCGGGAAGGAGCAGGGGCAGCATTCACCGCCTCCTCTGCTGCTTTCCGCGATGCTTCTTCCGCCGGTGTTGGGGGCTTCGCTGGACCAATGGTCAGTCCACGCGGAGCACTGGCAAGCTCGTTCACCTCGTGCGTCGTCAGAACCTCATTGATGCGGGGGCCGCGGCTCTGAAGAAGAATAGTTGTAGGGCCGTCGAATTGAAGGAACAGCTACTTGGTGTCAGTACTATACGCAATACATCTCAAGGGTGAATCAATTGAGCTTACCCTGTCGCCCCAGATGGTCATTCGAGACCAGGTACGAAGCCTGTGAACCAGCTTCATTGTAGTCTTCCAAGTATCCGCTTCGGACATAGCTTGGAGGAACTTGGATTTCTGGATGGAGCTTTGGATGAAGGCAGGCAGGTTCTTAAGGCCTGGAACCTGAAGCTTCAATGTGGTAGACTTGAAGCGGTAGGGACGAGGGGGGTTGGACGAGATGGTGTAAGCAACAACATTGCTGTTCAAGCCCAGTCAGCCGAGTTTCTGCAAAGTGGATAGCTTCGACAAGCATACCTGGGGTGGACTATGTATTGCTCGCCAGCCTTGAGCTCGACTGAATACAGCTGGCCGTTGCCAACCAGAGCCAACAAGCCTCTGCCAGTGACCTCAGAGCTACCCCAGTGGGCCAGGCTCTTCACGAATTAGCTATACTCTTGAGACCATGTGACGTTCCGGATGAGACGAACCAGGTTCGTGTTGATGGTGGGTCGAATCGAGAGCGAACGACCCGTCCAGGCAAGTAGCGCTCGCCTTTGAGCGACCATCCAATCGACCGAGCCATTGAGGTGTACGACCGCAAAAGAGGTATTCGGCGAGCGGACGGAGACCAGGGCCGTCACCGGGCTGGCGGACGATATCTGCGCGGGAATTTAGCCCCCAATTCCTCGACTTATGGAGACAGATCAGACCTTCTGATAGAGGAACGGCACGCCGACAACAGCTCTCCGGAAAGGTTCGAGGACACTCAAGGTGGAAATCACCTGGTTGTATCAGATGTTAGAGGTAGCTCGTACGTGAGCAGATTGCGAAAGTTCCGGTATCTGCATACATTGTCTGCTTTCCCACTCAACCCAACCAACGTCCCTCGGCGAGTGTACAGATTCTGCGAAGCGGAAAGTGAAACCGACAAGAGCGAGTAGGGTGCGCCGATGACATCGAACCGAGCATCTATATCCATAGGAGTATATTAGCAAGGAGTTTCTATGTGAACCGAAGGCTCCAATTGCCTGCACTGGATTCAATTGGATTTGCGACAAGACCTACCTGCGGATTCAGCTGATGTGGGAGTGCTGGACACAGGGAGATTGTCTCCATTGACCGTTGCAGGCTGTTCCGCGGGCGCAGCGCGAATCTGGACGCCTCTGGTCTGGCATGCGCGGTGCAGCAAAGCTCCTTGTCGCGCCCGAGGGGGAAGAACACGAGTCCAGGACAGAGCCCGGACGGCTCCCCTCAAAGGTTGGCCCGTTGCCATGGTTCAAAGGGGAGTGTGTGAATCTGCGAAGAGAAGAAGAAAGAAGTGGGAGCTGAACGAGGATGCTTCGGCTTGTCCTCCGCGGTAATCGCAGTAATTCTTCGCGGGTCCTGATCGGGGAAAGCGTTGCTCTGCGGCTTGGCACTCAATGGCCGGCCTTCGACCACTTCTGCCTTTGTGCTTTCTGGTCGGCGGTTGAACTGGGGAAGTGAGACAAAACTCACTTGTAATGGTGGGAATATATTTGTTTACCTCAAGGATAAGCCTTCATCCCAACAATGAGAAGTGTTGTAGTGAGCTCTGGTGTTTTTGGTGCGCCAGACGGCTTCCCGCTGATGTCATACCGATCTCACGGATAACTCCCGCTGTATACTGTACTCGTACACTCGTACCTGTCAATAAGAGACAAGGCTACTTGGTACTACCTAATATGTATATGGTATGGATAGCATGATCACTGCCTACACATCAGTGTTCAAAGACAACATGGGTACGATATATATATGAATTATAATTATAGCCCATCGTTATCTCGACCACTTTTAGCAATTTCCAGCCTTTTCTCAGAATCAACAAACTTGCGTTGCACCAAAACTCATCACCACAATTGCACCACGCATTCCATCACGAAGTCAACTCACCTAGCTTCGCGCCAGACCGACCCGAGAAATACTATTCAGTCACGCAGGGTGAAGTACTCAACGACCGGTATCAAACCCTTGCCAAAATAGGATACGGTTTTACCTCAACAATTTGGCTGGCGAAAGACTTGGTGTATGTGCAGTTGACTCATATGACCTTGATGATAACGTTGATGATAACGGAGATTCTAACAGTATGCTTCGAACCAGTGCATCGACATATGTAGTTCTAAAGGTTTACGTCACGGGCCAAAACCGGACCTCGAGCGAGAACTAGACATCTACAAGCACATCAATTCGGTGGAAGCACAACATCCCGGGAGAAACTTTATTCGTAAACTCCTCAACTATTGTTATCTCCAGGGCCCTCATGGCTGTCACATCTGTCTTGTTCACGAGCCTCTAGAAATGACTGCGGATTTTCTGGTGAGGACGGGTCCTCAGAAACGAAAGGACCCTTGATTTTATGAAGCCTGCTATCCGACAGCTACTTGTTGCCCTGGATTTCCTGCATTCAGAGTGCCATATCATCCATACAGATTATATGCTTACCCACCCCCTCGAAGATCTTGAGTTACAGGCCTAATGTCGGCACAGATCTCCAGCTAAAGAACTTACTACTTCCCGGCCCGGAGACAAGCCATCTTTTCCAATTCGAAGAGTGTGAAGTTGCAAACCCAACACCCCAAAAGAAGCTTAAAGATCGAACAATCTACAGGTCTTTAGGTTTTCTTCCTCCAGGCGGACTGCCAATTCTCGCTGATTTTGGGGAAGCTCGATTTGGCGATGAAAAGCAGAATGGCGATATTATGCCGAATGTTTATAGAGCTCCGGAAGTGATTTTGAGATCGAGCTGGGACTACAAGGTAGACATATGGAATATCGCTATGGTCGTGAGTAGAACTATTCTGAACTTTGCTTATCTTAAAAATGCTAACACTGGGGTATACTTAGGCCTGGGATATTGTTAGCTGTCGCACCCTGATCAATGGCAAAAACCTAGATGGCATATTTAATGATAGGGTCCATATGGCAGAATTGGTTGCCCTGCTAGGCCCTCCGCCCCCGGAATTGCGGGAATAGAGACACCTCAGCTCGGCCTTCTGGGATGAATCGGGGAAGTGGAAGGAAGTTGCCCCCATTCCAGATATTACCCTCGAGAGCCTGGCCTCGGAGGTGGAGGGGAAGATAAAGAGGGATTTTTTCCGGTGGCTCCGGATGGCCTTGCAGTGAAACCTCGAGGACTGGCCCACGGCCTTGGAACTCTAATTCGACGAGTGGATGATGAAGGGGCTTTGAAGTGAAGGGAGGGACCGGCAAAAAGTGCAGCTGAACAAGATCAATGACCGTGATATGGGCTTGAACCATTCTGCCGCTGGAGAGCAATCGATACCCTATCAGGTGTTCCGTGGTCTGCAGGATATTGGCAATGAGAATACACTATGAATCTCCTCTCGGATGGCTCTAAGCTGATCTCGACCAGCAGGCATATCGTAACTAGTAGAATAGTTGGTCGCGGTCGTTGAACAACTGGCTGGGAGAATTGGTTGAGATAATTTACGGGGGGCTAAGATCGTGAGATTAATAAACCATGAGAGAGGTCGCAAGCCTAGAGGGTCACATCCCTCAGGCCAGGCCGGCCGCTGGGCGACATCATCAGATTGGAGCAAATGACTGAGCTAAACAAAGAGTCCCTAAAACATGAAGGACATGTGTACTGCCACCTTGGGCAAGTCCCCGGCGTAATAGAGCCTTATCAGGTCTCGGACACCGAGATTCGAATGCCATATCTACGCCAGGGTTCACTCAGCCGCTATATACGTGCCCATCGTGAGAGCGTGAACAACATGCGGCGGTTACAATGGCTCCAGGAGGCTGCACATATTATCCGTCGTGTACACGAGCGGCGGGTTCTGATTGCTGATATTGCGACACGAAACTTCCTCCTCGATGAGAATCTTTCTTTGCAGATGTGCGATTCCACCGAATCTGTCATTGTTGCGGATGATGAAGACCTGGTCGAATTCGTATCTGAAGACTGCGTTTCAGTCAAGTCCGACGTTGCGCGCTTCGGCTCGATGATGTACGAGGTCATCTCCGGATACCGATGTGAATTTTTTTATACCCGACATCGAGATCGATCTAGATGACGATCCAGAATCTAAATACTTCCTAGCTAGCTTCTGGTGTATGGATCATCGTCCAATTCTGGCGACGTGATGATATCTTAATACTACGGAATAACTGGTGGGTGACGGTGGAATGGCCATGGTTGTGCGTGGCCATTGCTCTTAAAGCGTGTCCTTTCCACGCTGCCGTTCGCTGGCCGAGGTTCCAAAGTTCGAAGGATTGCAATCAAGGCACACTTCCAAGCTTGAGTTTTTGCAGGCAGGCTAGGCCCTCTTTACTAACAGGAAGACGTTTCCATTCCAATAGAATTTCAGCATGAATCAGTCCGCGGTTCTACGGGCAACCCCTGGTTAGAAGCTGATACATACCTTCCAATCTATCGAGGCTATCTCCCCTCCAAACACGAATGGATGTATGGCTCGGCAGAACAAGAGGAATGAGCGTTTACTTTACCCACCTGTCGTGGATTCACTTGTCCACAAAGGCCAACGACGATTTATGCCCTTTCATGCTCTCCTCCGCTAAAGATGTTAAAGCCCGCGACTTCGCCAGGTGTACACGATTGTTCTTCCACATAGGAACCCAAAACATGGGAGGACGCGAAAGGGTAGCAGAGGAAAAGGCCTTGGCGGTATTTCACCTATTTGGGCATCAATTCTGATGATGTGTCCCAAATGCTCAAACGTCGTGGATTCACTAGGTCCAGGAAAGGTGTTTCCAATATGATCAGACTGCGATTTGATCGGACCCTGAAGTTGAACACAATCCGCTAGATTTCCGGTAGTCTACCATATGCTTCTGTGCGCAATTTCCCGACAAGAATGAACTATAGATCTGTAGCCGAATGATGAAAACACTACCAAACTAGATTTAAATAGGATTTACTCTCATATCTACTGGTATCTCTTTTCCCGAGCCTAGACGTTTCGTAACGCGTCGATCAATGGGACCGAAATTGGCCTCATGAATCCGACCAAAGTTGCGACTGTACCATTCCACTGCAGTTTAATCTGGGCAATGATCAAGAGCATTATTATCAACCTCTAGGTACCCTGTCATCAGAGATACCCAGGACCTCAGTGACTCGCCCCATGCAGAGAAGCCTTTTTCTGTTTCTTCATCAATTGCAGTCTTAACAAAACTTTCCAGGAGCGTTTGTTCCAGAGGGTAGCACAGGTTGCCGTAAGTCTCAAATCGCTTTCTCGGCGCTCCATCTTTTGCTTCGGTCAAGGGGCGGGGGGAATCGTCCTGGAAAGAGTGCGCAAACATGTTTGGAAACAAATATAATTGCAGGCCTTTTTCTGTTGGTTCGCCATTTGGATAATCAAACCCTGCACAAGACCGATCCAAGTGTTCATAGCCAGCATTTATCTCCTCCAGCACCTGCTGTGGGTTCGGATGATTCTCTATAATCTCAGAAGGAGGTACGCGATTTGGAACACTTTGTTTGAATCCTGCGCTCTCGAGCCGTTTAATAACAGCAGTATAGTTGTTATCTTGCACCACAATTATAGGAGCCTATTGAGAATGGAATTATTAGTATCGGTATAGTTAAATTGATGGTGTGCTATTAGAGGGAAAATATCACCCCGACAGCGATAGGGACACCTAGATACCACATTGCGAGGGCTCCCCAGGGTACTACAGTGAAAGGTTGAAGGGTCTTGCTAAGTCTTAAGGAGAGCCTATCAGGCTCAGTCTCCCTCAAGCGCCTAAACATAGTCGTAATGAGAAATGTGATGGAAAGAATTCTTGGTGATTTGCCTCAAGTAGTTATAAAGATTCTCACAGAGCATAGATATAGTATCTTAACAAGAAGGTAAGGAAAATAAAAGGCTTCGGAATGCTCCTTGCATACATAGGGTATTTTAGAATAGCAGGTCAACCCGCGGTCCACTATCAGTATCGCCAGCGTTACAGAGTCCCATTAGCACTCAGATCGGATGTAGTGCTCAAAATATTCAAACAAGCCAACATTGGTTGACCTCGCCAACTTGAGATTGAGGATTGGGCGAAAGTAGGTTCCGATGACCTAGCACTACCTTACTGTACATTATGGTAAGCTTGAAGATTAACAACTGATGGGGTTTATAAGTACTGTACTGTACAGTACTCCGTAGAGAGCCCCGACCTAAACCTATTCTGGAAATGGAGAGTCGACACCTACTCAGTGTTCCGCAGAAACCCTGTTCAAACAATACAAAATCGGCGATTGCGCCAGATCTGCCTTCATTCGTGTCATTCAGTCTGTCGGCCCGCATATAAACTCCTTGATGATTGTGGCCAAATACACATTGCCACCTCAACCCTTCATAGCACTTCATCGCGCCAGCGAAAGCTCTCGTTGATCCGGTGCCGAGGATCAAGACTCCCCGATCTCCCCGCGCATCCCCCGCCGACGATTTCCTCCGAACCCGGCGGGTCCTCATTCCACAAGCCGGCGTCTCGCACGGAGAACCCTTGTGCCTTTTTCTCTCTGTCCGACACTACAATGCGCCATTGAGAGCGGAGGAGGTCTTTAACATTTCCCGGTCATTGTGAAGATTGTTGACCGGCCACCATGCTGCCCAGGGCCGCCCGATCACCGTGCTGGCGTGTCCCGGGGCGCTTCGTATACCAGCGCCAGTTTGTCACGCGCCCGACCCCATGGACCTCTGCCTCATACGGAGTGCAATCCCGAGCCGTCTCGACATCCAGCGAATCCGACAAGAAACAAGCGTCTGCGAGCACACCTCCCGCCCTGAAGAACCCTACCAGTTCAATCGCGGTACAACCAGGAGCAGCGAATGCGACGCAGGTTTCCACCGCAGCCCCCCGGAAGCAAAATGCCACCACTACTCCCAAGAAGAAGGACCTGCTTAACGAGGCCACGCTAGCAACCAAGGAACAAAGGAAAGCGGACTGGGCGATCATGAAGGAGATGGCAAAGTACCTTTGGCCAAAGGTAGGAGGGCTCGAATGGAAGTGCGGCGGAGCTATCCGGAGCGGTGCTAATTGAATACGGTGCAGGACGATTGGGGAACAAAGCTTCGAGTTGGAAGCGCCCTATCTCTACTTATAGGAGCTAAGGTTAGTTGTATAGCATGTTGGCCATTCAGACTGGTGTGCTGACCGGGCGCCCCTAGATCTTGAACGTCGAGGTACCCTTCTACTTCAAAAGCATTGTTGACTCGATGAATGTGGATTTTGCGACTGTAGGTGGCACGGCCTATACAGTGGCGGGCTCGATGATTATCGCCTGTAAGTCAGGATCTCGCCGTTCAACTGCGCAGGCCTAACCGTGAACTGCCAGACGGTGTCACCAGAATCGGCGCCACTGTGTTCCAGGAACTCAGAAATGCGGTCTTCGCCAGTGTAGCCCAGAAGGCGATTCGCAAGGTCGCGCGAAACGTCTTTGAACATCTACTACGCCTAGATCTGAACTTTCACCTCACGCGCCAGACCGGAGGCTTGACGCGGGCAATTGACCGTGGTACCAAGGGTATCAGCTTCTTGCTGACTTCCATGGTGTTCCACGTCGTCCCTACCGCCCTGGAAATCTCCCTCGTGTGCGGTATTCTGGTATAGCATGGCCCGGTCTGTTCTTATTGGAATCTGTCAATGTACTCATTAACCGTGACGACAGACGTATCAGTATGGCTTCAAATTCGCGGCGATCACGGCGACTACCATGCTCGCATACTCGGCCTTTACCATCACCACCACCGCCTGGAGGACCAAGTTTCGGAAGCAGGCCAACGCAGCCGACAATCGTGGTGCCACCGTTGCTGTGGACTCCCTGATCAACTACGAGGCCGTCAAGTACTTCAACAACGAGAAATTCGAGGTTGCTCGCTACGACAGGGCGCTCAAGAATTACGAAGATGCTTCGATCAAAGTCACCACCTCTCTGGCATTCCTCAACTCTGGGCAGAACATGATCTTCTCCAGCGCCCTGGCGGCAATGATGTATCTCGCGGCCGATGGAGTGGCTACTGGCACTCTGACCGTTGGTGACCTGGTCATGGTCAATCAGCTTGTCTTCCAGCTCTCCGTCCCTCTCAACTTCCTCGGATCCGTGTACCGCGAGCTTCGCCAGTCACTGTTGGACATGGAAACGCTGTTCAACCTGCAGAAGGTCAATGTGAACATCATTGAGCGGCCCAACGCGAAGCCCCTGGTGCTGAACCAAGGGGGCGAGATCCGGTTCGAGAACGTCACCTTCGGCTACCATCCGGAGCGGCCAATTCTCAAGAACGCTAGTTTTACGATCCCCGCCGGTCAGAAATTCGCGGTCGTCGGGCCCAGTGGTTGTGGCAAATCAACGATTCTGCGCCTGCTGTTCCGCTTTTACGACGTCCAGGAGGGCCGGATCCTTATCGACGGGCAAGACATTCGGGACGTGACGCTCGAGAGTCTGCGCAAGGCCATCGGGGTGGTGCCTCAGGATACTCCCCTGTTCAACGACACGATCGAACACAATATCCGGTATGGACAGATCGACGCGACCGACGAAGAGGTCCGCAAGGCTGCGCGACGCGCGCACATCCACGAACTGATCGAGAAGCTCCCTGATGGATACAGGACGGCTGTCGGAGAGCGGGGGATGATGATTTCCGGAGGTGAGAAGCAGCGACTGGCTGTCTCGCGGTTAATCCTGAAGGATCCCGAGCTTCTCTTCTTCGACGAGGCGGTAAGTGTCATGCCCTTCCCACCAGCAGACTCGCTTGTGCTATGGATGTAGGGCGCTAACGGATAACCCGACCAGACCTCTGCATTGGACACCTACACTGAGAAGGCACTGTTGCAGAACATCAACAGTATTCTCAAGGAGAAGCGCCGCACGAGCGTTTTCGTGGCCCACCGTTTGCGCACGATCTACGACTGCGACCAGATCCTGGTGCTGAAGGAGGGCCGTGTGGTGGAGATGGGTTCGCACCGCGAACTTCTGGAACAGAATGGCATCTATTCTGAATTGTGGAACAGTAAGTGGAGTTTGCTTTTTTTCTGCCCCCGTAAACAAGCCATACGAACTCGTTTCGGGCGCTAACGTCCGCCACAGCGCAGGAAATGTCCCTCACGGAAGCGCAGGGATCGGAAAGCGTAGCAGAGGAGGAAGTGGAGCAAGACGCTGGCCCGTCCTCCCCCCAGCGACAGAAGTGAGCTCGCTCGTGGGTGTATCTTATTATTTCTTGGGCTTCTTATGGAGATCTGGGCGACCAGAGACCAAGGCTTACGTAAATATACTTTGGGAAGCCAGTTCCATTGGTCAATTAGATTTAGAGACACGACTCGGCAGCTCACGCGGTCGTTGACAATCAGAATGAGTTTATGATCACCTAAAATGGTGCCAGGTACCGGTCAGTAGACTAGCAGCTCGACTAGTCTAAAACGACCAGCCTTCTTCTCTCTCTAACCCAAACCACCGGCGGGGGTCCGATGGAGCTCTCCAGCATGTCGTAGTTTGGGTCAGGGCTTTTGGACAGCGTTCGCCGTTCGGCACGGGCTATTGAAAGTCGACCATGGATACCACTTGGCTGGGTACGCCAGGCCCATTCGGGGGTGGGATTCACGGTGTGTTGTCGAGTCTCTGGCTCTCTCGTCTGGTCAATTCCCGTCTGGTCGCGTGTCTGATCAGCAGGTTGAACTATTCAACAACAGCTACCAAACTATTGTGCATCGTTAAAGCATGTCGAAGAATCACCGGCCGATCCGACCGTTTCCGTCCATGGGAACTGCAGCAGATGTCAACCCGGAAAGCGGCCGTGCGGTGCGTTGCAGCCCAGGGACGGGACCAGCACGTTTATCCTCCGCAAACAAGCATGCAGAAAGGAGTCTTCTCGAAGATTGAGATGATGGGACCATGGAGACGGGGTCAACTTGCCAAGGGTGACTATGCGAACAGATGTAAACCTTGTCGGTCGATATCCAGCAATTGCAACAAGAGTGATTTGAGTTCTTGAGTCGTGGACTCGTGTTGAGAATGAAGCGGACTGATGGTGTTGGGTGTTGGGTGTTGGGTGTTGGGCTAGTGATGGGCTAGGCTAGTAGTTATTCGACTAGTCAGGGGTTGAAGAGGCAACACGGGCCATGAGGAAGACTGTGTGTTTTTGATTTTTGCCATGAGGTTTGTTAGCCCAACTGGCAATTGCTCCAGAGTCAAGACTAAAGAAAGAGTCTAAGAGTCTAAGACCAAGAACTAAACCTCGTTCCACCCCTGGCTAAACCCAGTTCAGTTAAGGTCCCCACAACCCACGTTGTTGCTGTCGCAGTTGCAGTCCAGTTGCAGTTGCAGTCAAGTTTGCCGTCTTCCTTCCCTGTCCGTCACTCTGTCGACACACACTCACTCTCTCTCTCTTCTGCTTCCTTTCTTCTCCTCCCTCCCTCCCTCCCTCCCTCCCTCCCTCGTGGACTCGTCTCATTCACTATCCCCTCTTTCTCCCCCTCCCCAAACCCCACGTTCGTTCGCTGCTTATTTCCTTTCGGTCCCTCTTCCGTTCCTTCTAGTCCTATAGTGTTGCCAATAATTCCCTCGAGTCCCAATCCCCCCCCCCCTCTTCAACCTAAACTAGTTCCGGAGCAGAGTCTCTCCTTGGGTGCAAACCTTCCGAGCCACTGCGTCTCCCTGCCACTAAAGCTATTAACCCTCCAATCGCACTTGCACTCGGCTACTTTGCTTCGAACTTGCATCTAGCTCCCTTTCCCACCATCCTCCCACCTACCCTACCGCACTACTGCATAAACCAACCTTCCCTCCTTCTCGTGCAGCTCAAGGCTCACTCAGATATATCGCTCCCTCGATTGCAATTTGGTCCCGTCCAATACTCGACCCAACAATCTTATACAATTCTCCTCTCTCCGCCCCCAAACGTTAACGGCCCGATTCCGAACTCGCCGAACCACTCTCCAACACAACTACACACACAAACTCACTCACAAAATGGGCTTCATTGAGAAGTTGCAAGCAAGTACGTTGTTTATGAACTCCGAATGGTCGCGCGGCAGTGCAAGCCCCTGACCACTCCCGGACCCGATCGCAACCCCCGCAAAGGCAACCCCAGGCTAACAGATTGGCTTCACAGAGCTGGAGCTTTACCGTCTAGAGCAGCGTTATGCTCGTCGCAAGCACCGGAGCACCTTCTCGGGCGTGCAGTATGTCGACGGCGAATACCATTACTCCAGCGGATCGAACTCCTCCACCGGCACTGTCTCCAAGCAATCCACGGGCGGCTACTGGAAGCCCCCAACATGGGGATCATCTGGGGATTCGCGCTGGCGGTGATTCTGGCACCAAAACCCAACCCGATCTAACGCTTCGCCTCGATTCCATATCGTTCGACCATTGATCCTCGACATAACGTCTCGTGTGGAGGATATGACGACTTGTCCTTCTTTGCTTATTCATTCCATTCGTCGGGTCCAGCACCCAAGCGGGAAAAAGTCCATGGGTTTTTCTTGCTTTTGAAGCTTACCTCGGATGTCTCGCCCATGATGCGATGGGAGCGAGATTGCTTCGATCCCTCTACCACAAAGAATCGCACCATTGTGCGCTGGCTTATCTCGCTCCCGCGCAGTTGAAATTTGGTCCACGGGTCATACAAGAACTTCCATCTGCCGGTTCAATTGGCCTTTGACACTCTGCATCTCCTCGTGGCTATTTTCTGGGAGTCATATGCTACCATCTTGCTGACGCCTTTCATGCATGATCTGTTTTGACCGTTGACTATGCTCCGTTGGTTCTAGCCTCCGTTGTCTTTGTGATCGCTCAAGCGATGTTGCACTTTCTATCTGTCCATATTTTACTCGAGCCCTTTAGCGAGACCTCGACGGCGCATCTATCTGTTTCGAACTGTTCTCGCTGCCCTTACTGTACATACATTACACGGTCTACCCCGAATATACATTTACTACTAGCATCTGACTTACATGTTTGCCATCAGTCACGTGAAAGAGCCAAAGAAAGGTATAGTAGGTCTCCAAATCGGGATGCGATGGTCTAATGATATCGTATTCATAATAGCAAGTTCCCGCGCATCAGTGTGAAGCAAGGCGGGATACAGGCCAATGACAGCTTCACGTCTAGGGATATATTCGGGTTCATCTCGGAATAGGCAGGTTCCAGACACCGCGCGTCAGCACCTCTCCTCTACTGTTCATCATTCACCGACCTCCCCAACTTTCATCTCCATATAAAGATCGGGGCCCTATTGTCCGCTCTCTTGACAACTTCCCGAAATGCAAAACAAACAAAACAAAACAAAAAAACAGAAACAAGGAAACCCCCCCCCCCCCCCCCCCCCCCCGTCCGGATCTTCTCCGGGGCCCAGAAAACAAGAATAGCCCAAACGATCACCGTTTCGACTTGCGACCCCCGATCCCCAAACGACCCAGGTTCGGGAGACTGGATTTATGTCTGTGCCCGGCCCCGGCCGCGGCTCGACCGGCCGCGCCGCCCCCAGCTGCCGCAGCAGTGCCCGGCCCAGAACCAGCACCTGCCCCTGCCCCTGCCCCTGCATTCGCCGAACCACCATGACCACCGGCATCGGGCCCACCGGCGCGCGCCCCGTCCCCACCACCGGTCCCGGTTCCGGCTCCGGCTCCTCCCATCCCCAAGCCCGCCGCGCCTCCCCTCGGCACATCTGGCAACAGGGCGGCGATGGTACTTCGGTCGCGGGCCCCGCGGTGGACCAGACCGACGGGGTGTTGGGCGAGTCCGCCGCCTCCGTCACCGCCAAAGGGCCCGCCGCCGTCCTGGTCGAGGGGTCGCTGCGAGGCGCGCTGGGCGCGGCGGGCCTTCTCCTGGACGGATTTGAATTTGTCGAGGAGTTCGACCCACCGGATCGAGGAGGTGCTGGATGATAATGAGGAGGAGGTTGCTGCTGCTGCTGCCGCAGCGGAGGTGGTGGTGTAGGTTGAGCTGGAGGAGTCTTCGCGTTTGAGGCGGCTGCTGCCGGTGGGGCGGTCGTAGGTGGAGGTCGAGTTGGTGGGTAGGGAGGAGGGGAGGGCGGTTCTGGATTTTACTAAGTGTTAGAGATGTTATCCTGAGGCAGGGTTTGGGATTCTGATGGTTGTGGGGAGGAAGAGGGGGGGGGAGTGCTTACAGTCGGGGACCGGTGTGGAGGAGTCCGATGCTGCTGACGCTGTTGAGTCGGTTCTTGAGGGCGGCGAAGGCGGAGCTTTGCGGGAGGAGCATCAGGACTCCGTATAGGCATTTGTAGAGGTAGGGGTATCGTTCTGGTTCGAGGAGTTGGAGACGGAGGTCTGTTGTTGTTAGGGTTGGTAAGCGAGACGAATGGGCAGGGATCACTGACAGGTGAAGACGGGGGATTCGAGCAGCTGGACCAGCTTGTCGATTTGGATTAACATGTTAACGGTCATTTCGAGCTCGGCGCTTTGGACGTTCGTTAGTGAACTATGAACCCGGGGGTTGGTTGGGAAGAGGGAAATCGTACAAGACTTGGAGGAGATTGTATGCTTGCTCGTAGGCTTGTGCGAGCAGACAGAGCGAGAAGGTCGAGACCGCGTTGTGGCACCAGGACCTGAATAGCGCGACGAAGAAGGCCTGGCCGTCCTGACATTGGGTCAGTTTCTTGGAATACGTGCTGCCGATACATCCTACCTTATTGTCGAGGTTCCTCAGGCGCTTCCGGAGCTCCGAGAGCTCGGGGGCGGTGATAAGGTTGTTGTTGAGATTCTGGACCATGATGCTAGCGAACTCGAGGTCCTGTAGTCACGTCATGGAAAATAGTCAGTGGGGGGGTCTCAGTCGTGATGGTTCTGGGTGTGGTGGTAAAATCTCACCTCCTCTTTCTCGAGACAGTCCGCAAGAGTCCTGTAGATGCGCTCGGGGCTGAGGTTCATGCACAGCTGCCGGATGATGAGGTTCCCGCGCACCTCCAGCAGACTCCGATCGGTGGAGAAGAGCTGCAGCAGGTTCACCATGAAGGACTTGAAGTAGCTGTCCTCGCTGTTGCGGGAGATCTGCGAGAGGAGCTGCAGATCCTTGGTCACCACCACCTCCGCGGGGTCGGACAGCGTCTTGAGCAAGGCCGGAAACGTGCCATCGTTGAACGCGATCACCTTCTTTGGCGCCTTGCGGTGGAGCATGATCAGCCAGGACAGGGCCGCGACCCGGGTGGTCTCGTTCTCGTTCAGGAACTGCAGCGTCAGCGAGTTGACCGCCGCTGCGTAGTCGAGATCGGCGGGCGGCACGGACGTGGAGATGATGCTGCTCCTGGGGGTCGGCTCGGTCGACACCTCTTGTGGTTGTGGCGGCGAGGCCTGCTTTCTCGTCTCGGTGGACGGGCCTTCGGAGGGTCTGCTGCCTGGCGTGGACGACCGTCGTTCGACGACTACGTCTTTGCTATTCGTGTTACTGGGCTTGGTCGTCGCTGGCCCCTGTCGGGAGGTCTCCTCCGACGTGTCTTCGGACAACGTGACGATGTATTCCAGCAGAGATGTATTCACTCGGTTGGCGGCCTGCCGCACTTGGTCCGAGCCGCTGGACATCGCCGGGAGCACTTGGGTCAGCAGGCGAGGCACAAAGGGCAAGATGTCTTCGGGGCTGATCTCGAAGAAATTGTCGATCCAACGCAAGGCCGTCAACTGCATCTCTTCCACTAGCGGGTTATGATGCGCGTAAGTCTCCGTTCCACCAGGTACTAGAGCAAGTGAAAAGTAGCTCACCGAATGATGTGTCAACATATCCCACGAGGATTTCCAGTATCCTTGCATAATCGATCTGGACGTCTTGGCCAGGAATCCAGTCTCCGTCTGCGTTGAATCCATCTTCATCGGTCACGGAATCTATCTCAGAATCTTCTATCGCGTTGTCATTTGTCTCTGACTCGACAGCCAGAGTCTGATCGGTCGTCGTCGTCACACTGAGGCCGTCACTCGTCGTGGACTGTCTATTTTCGCTCCCTTGGTCTTTGCGGCTTTCCTCGATTCCCTTCTTGAGCCGAGCGATCCTCTTGATCTCCGACAGAAAGCGATCCAGAAGCGCCTGAGTCGCGACGTTGACATCTCTATTCGGATCCCCGAGGAATTTGATCAGCCCTCCGAGGAAGTCCGGCAGAAACGAGATGAGCTCGAGGTCCGGTATCGTGTCCAGGAGCGTGAGCCACGAAACCAGAAATGTTCGGGTGAAAGGACTTGTGACGTGGATCCGGTCTTTAAGCAAGGGGATGAATTTCGGGAGCGAGAACGCAGTCGGTAGATCCGCATCCTCCAATGACTCTGGATCTGCCTGCTGCTTCTCCGTGAGCTGCAGCACTGAGACGTGAGAGGCCGCCGATTCGGAAACGATATCCTTGACAAGTCGGTCGAGAAGTTCTGCGCCGTTTTTGACTGACAATTCGGAGTCGGAAGCAAGCTATGACTCGAAGGACAATGGTTTAGCAGACAGCAAGTCCAAGCTCATCGACAACAAGCACTCACTTTGCTCAACGCATCGAAGATCTCGTTGAAGAAGAGTAGGATCTCCCCTTTCGCAACCTTGGCAATGTTGTACATGCTCTCGCAAGCATAGTACCGAACGCGCGCATCTTGGTCGGAAAAGCACGCGAGCACCGGCGGTACGATCTCCTTCAAGTACGGTGCAACACCTTCCTAGATAGTAATCCAACAGTTCAATATACCGGGGACATCGAGTTTGCTTTGGCGGGGGGGACAGGGTTCGGGTGGAACTCACGGATCCCAACGCTATCGAAGCGGCCGCGAGGCCGATCAAGCCGCCATTCCTGGCATGAGGCTGATGCACGGCGTAGGCATAATCGTGACAGAGCTGGTCGACAATCTTCTGGATCTCCTCGTGCTCCCCCCTGAAAGCGGCTTCGCGAACGACCTTCTCGAGCCTGGTAGGAGAATCGCATGAGTTAGTTTGACTACCCGTTGATTGCGACGACTACTCTGGCCTCTTATCGATAAAAAAAATATCCATACTCCAAGGCTCCCTGTTTCCTCCGGTCGTAGAGCTTATCGTTCAGCGAACGTTGGATTGAGTGATCCATCGCTCCGATTCCCATAAAATCGAACGACTGATTAAGCTCCGGGGGCCGATTTTAGATGGGTTTCATGGTGTGCAAGCGTCGTTCTGGCTAGGCTGGGCGGTGAGGCGGTGGTGACTCGACAGAAAGGAGGAGCTGTAAATGAACTAGTATGGAAAGTAAGTTAGCAGCCAGCTATTATTCCGACGCCATCAGTCGCAGTTGGCACGGCTTCTGCCTTGGGCAGGTAGAGTCGCCCTCACGGTCACTTTGCCAATACAAATGATTAGCCTTGTCACTCTGCTGTAGGCACAGTGTCAATCCCAATGTGGGGAGCTCTCAAAGGAAGATGCGTTGGCACAACGTGGATACTGGATAGCGGACGCGATGTGACGTAGTGTCAGCACTCGGCATTGCCGCCGACTCCTTACCGCCTAACCGATAACTGGTACTGGCAGCCCGCAGTGTGTTTACCCATGCTCAATACAACCACCAATACAACCACCTCAATCCTGTTTACAATAATGGAATTCATGGTTCTCATATATTAGTGTAATGGCATTAAATCATACATTTGAGAGGCTTGTTTAATGCGCGCTAAGACATGACAAGATAAAATCGTGGTCGCTGTCTATCAATGACTGATATATTGGAAAACCGCAGAGACATCTCTTTCCCCAGTTTCCTGTCGGATCAGCAAGTCCTGAATCTTGCTGAGGTGCCCAGTCTCTCCATCGTTCACAAAATGGTTCCAAGTACTGGTGTCACCGTACAGCATGGCAGCGGCTTTGATGTATTGTGTCCCATCGGGCCGACAGCGCTTGCACTTGAAGGTATCGTGCGTATCACTCTTAGTATCCGGTTTGAATTGGAACAGCTCGCGAAGTGATTCCAGAGAAAAGTGTCGCTCGACGTCCTCGGCGGAGTCCACCACGCACGAAGAAAGTAATTGTTTGTGTGATTGACGCTGGAATATCTTCTCTTCGATTGAGCCAGTAGCGATAAAGCGGTAGACGAAACAGTCCTTCTTCTGACCGTCACGCCAGACACGCGCTAAGGCTTGCTGGTCGGCTGCCGGGTTCCAGTCGGGATCGAACAAAACCAGTCGATTCGCACCTATCAAGTTCAAACCACACCCACCCGCTTTGCTGCTGAGAAGGAACACAAACTCTTCTCCATCGGGGTTATTGAACTTGTCGACGAGCTTTTGTCGTTTGTTCACGGTCATGGTACCGTCCAATCGCAGGGAGCCATATCCCCGTGACCGGCAAAGCTTTTCGAAAAGATCCAATGTCTGCGTATAATTGCTAATTAAAACGATCTTGTCGTTCGTGTCCTGGCGAATACGTGCCAGCATACGGTCCAAGACCATCATCTTGCCGGAGTACCAGGACTTGATATCCCTATCGCGTCCTCGTCCTTCGGGAGGAACATAGTCATCCGGAAATGCGTGTTCACAGCCTGGAAGGTCTGTGGATAGGTTGAGGAGATCAGGATGGTTGCAAAGCTTCTTCAAGAGCCCAATAGCTTTCAACGGCTGACTCCCTTTACCCCTGAGTAAGCTCTTGATCTCTGGACTTTGAATGAAGTGATTGTAGAGGTCGAGTTGGAATTGGGACATGTTGCAGAATACGACATGCTCGTACTTGACCGGTAAGTACTTAGACAGCAGCTCGTTCGTTCGGCGAATGATGAATTTGTTCACAATGCCTGAAAGCTCAGCCAGCCGTTCATCTCCTTTCTTTCGATCTTCTTCTGAGCCTGCGGCATCTCTTCCTCGAAGAATTGGCAACTCGAACCTCTTTCTGAAGTCGTTCTGCGAGCCCAGCAGGTTCGGATTCGCGAAATGGAGAAGTGAAAAGTACTCTGACAGATCATTCTGAATTGGAGTACCAGACAAGATCACCCGGCGTTGTACATTCAAGCTGTTGAGTGCAGTCCAGGTCAAACTCTCCTTGTTTTTCAGTCGGTGGCCTTCGTCGCATAGTAGTAACCCAATCGGGGTATCCTTCAGTGTATCAACATACAAGCGGAGGGTTTCGTAAGAAATGATCAGACACGGCCTCACGACCGATCGTCCGGAAGCGATGGCCCATTGTTTCATTTGAGCAATGAGCTCCGTTTTTGAGGCCTTGCCGTCGACTGCAAATGGAGTTGTTGCATCCTTGCCAAGCCATTTGCCTGCAAATAATGTCAGTTTACGTGTTGTTCGATCCTCACTTGTGACCTACCAAGCTCATTGGCCCAGTTTCCAACCAAACTGGATGGGCACGCGATGATGCACTTCTGAATAGTAGTCTTTCCAGCCTCCGGGGATTGCTTGAGCAATGTCCACATCAACGAGATGCATTGAAGCTGCTATTGTGAGTAGATGGAACTAAGTCGGAGCCGATCATCATACCGTTTTACCCAAGCCCATGCCATCAGCCATAATGCACCCATTCGCGTTCTTGTCTACCATTCCGGTTGTACAACGATAAAGGAACTACGTAAGAGTTCAGGTTAGTCAGAGAAAGCAACCCATCTTTCGCCGGGAGCGATACTCACCTTAACACCTTCTACCTGATGCGGCCGTAAAACCTTCGCCAATCGTGGATCGATGACAACGGGGACCTTAGGCCTGTCTTCGACCTTCTTCTTGAGTCCAAGAATATCTGCCAAGCTCTTATGTACCAGCGGTTCGTCCAGTTGAGGCTTCTCGCCCTCTGCATCGCCTTGCGGTTCTTCCTTGGGTTCTGCTTCTTCCACCTCATCAACAGTCGGGTCGTAGAGCACTATCGCAAACTCGCCACTTGGGTCATGCAACGGTTTCACGACGAACGTCGCGCCTTGCCTCATCCCCAGCGTCGGGGCTGGTCGGGCACCAAAATTGTCGACTTGCTTGTTGATAAGCGGCACCTTGAATCTCTGTCGAAAGGCGGTGTCCTTGTCCTTCGGTTTGAAGACAGGAAACCTATTCACGTCCCGGGTGGCGAGCGCGAGACGGTCCTCGTTTGTGTACGGCTTTTCACCCTCATCATTGCCTTCTCCGTCGGCCCCTGCGTAGTTCACTTTCCGTCTCTTCCTCGCGGGCTTGTCTGATGTGCGTGTAGGGGTGGCCGATCCGGGGCATTTGAAGGGTCTCGAAAGCCGGTCGATGGAGCTCCCGGGAGTGCCGGGTTGGAGCTTCGCCGGCGTGCTCGTGGCATTCTCTTTGAGGACGGGTCTTGGGCGATACCTATGTACATTAGAAGAGTTGCGAGATCGCGTATCAAGAGACTCACATGGATGGTAGGTATCGGCCTGTGTTTGATGCCCTCGAATTGTCGCTTGATCGCTGGTGGCGGTTGTTGTTTCGCCGAGTCAGTAGGACGCGCTCGCCACATCCTAGCGCGTCTGCCTACAATTACTGGACACCAAAGTATCGCGTGGTCACATGATCTTGTCAACAACAATTGACCGCTGCGGATTTTGGTAAACGTACGAACTTGAGGCAATTTATACTGGCGCGGTTGAGAAGACTGCTGATAAAGTCTTCACCATCAAGAGTTACGCAACTCGTCATGATGCCCCGGGCGCCCATCAACTGGTTGGACTCGGTATCGTCTATTCATGCTAAGTCCATAGAAGTGCACTACTCCCTTCAGGTGGAGCTAATGCTACGGGCAGCATCAAATTGTCTTTGGAGGTTGATAAGTTGTTTAGCCATTCACAAATGGCTTCAATGAGTTGAGATTGTTATCTCGGAGCTCAGTACGGAGTAGCTTGTTGTAGGAATTATGGTGGCTCTCATTTTGCCCATATTGGGCGGCTGCGGTGAACCTTCCAGCGGTCCTCGTGTATGGCCTTAGGGCGAAGTTCTTTATTTCGGTGATACGTCGCAATGCCTACATGGAAGCAGTACACGTGTTTTGTATAAGTGCATGATTTTGTTCTGTAACGATGTATGTGAAAATGCGGTGTGTTGCAGAGGGGACAGACACCTTCGAACTCACTAGCCTAACGAGCTAAGTAGTGACACTGGCTGTCTCTGGTTCTGACTTCTTCTCCTGGATCCTATCTTGGACAAAATGTCTATTCCGAGGCTTCAGCTTTAGACCAATCCCCGAGTGCAAATACCCCGCAGAGACCTATTGGTGCTAAGGACCTATCGAGTATAGTAACTTTCGGGTCGCCTCTTAGTGCGGGATGGTTTAGATAATATATCCACGCCGCCTGTCAGTGCTCTCTAGTTAGTGATGACATAGCAATTGTGTACCAACTACGACGACTCACCGTTGCTGAGAGCAACAATCTCTCCAATCGGATCACACATATGATATGTCCGCCGACTTCTGGGCTGGCTACCTGAGCGGTGCTATTGGGATCATCATCGGGAACCCGCTTGACATTATCAAGGTTCGACTGCAGGCGGGACAGCATGCAGAAGTCGTTGCATCATCAACAACCCAGCAACTGAGCCGCCTGGAAAGCGTCACTTCTCTTGTGCGAGGTCTGTAAGCATGATGAATCTGTTACTGTATGACCGAAACCAAGAATCCATGCTAATGGTTGATTACAGGCTCGGCTGCTCCGATCCTGGGCTATGGAGCCCTGAACGCGCTGCTCTTCGTGGCCTACAACCGGTCATTGATGACTCTGGACACAGCTATTACAGACCCGACCTCACCACAAGGAACGTCTCTGTATAAAGTGTGGCTCGCAGGCGCTGCAGGCGGGCTAGCCAGCTGGACTGTATCGGCTCCCACAGAGTTCATCAAATGTCGAGCCCAGCTGGACACCCGGCCCGGGATCTCCTCCTGGACCGTTGCCAGAGATATTATTAGTACCCGAGGCTGGAGGGGCCTATACTATGCAGGAGGGATCACTTGCGCCAGAGACGCCATTGGCTATGGATTTTAGTATGCGATCTGCCTGCCCCAGATCTTCCCCCCACCGTTAACCCTCTGCGGCTCCTTGACAGGACGTACACTGACCTTTACACCGCCACAGCTTCTGGTCTTACGAGTACTGTAAGCGTCTCATGAACTCCGAGGATGATACTACGAATCTGGCTGCATTGAAGATCCTCCTCTGCGGCGGCATTGCTGGCGTTATCACCTGGGCGTCGGTCTTCCCTCTAGACGTGGTCAAGACGAGACTGCAGGCTGGGACAATTGAGACATCTCCCCAAGATCGTCCTCTTCTACCGTCTCGCATACAGACACGCGATGCAAGCTCCATTCAAGTTGCCAGGGTGGTCTATCAGACCGAAGGTTTGAAGGCATTCTACCGCGGCCTTGGCGTGTGTAGCTTTAGGGCATTCATTGTGAATGCGGTTCAGGTATGTGGAATTGTCGCAAACGGCATTTGAGACAGCGCTGACAACCTCTATTTCAGTGGGCGACTTACGAATGGCTTATGAAATATCTACAAGAAGCATGAACATATACAAAAGGCTCGACCAAGGAGGAAGAGGACAGCTCGATCAATTCCCCCCACGTTCTGTAATTTATATTGCAGCTTGTAAATTATTCTTGCCCAAGAGGAGTCGGATCCGATCCGAGTGGGGACCTGACTGTGCGATGCTCCGAGAACCGGCAATTTTGCGAGGGGGTCACCGCAAGACGGAAGCAGTGCGGTCGGCGCAAACTGGCGATTTTCGGCACCTGATGTTTTCACGTGCTTAGTGTGAGACTGGGCGAATCACGTGTCGGGCGACAAGCTTTGTCCGCAAACAGCCAATCATATCACTTTGGTGACAACGACAACGGCTGCAAATTTGCATTGATGCGGTAAAAAAATTTTCGAGCCCATGAAACTGGAGGTCTGTCGCAATACCGAAAGGGTCGTTTGCATGCAAGTCCAACCCGCTCTGCTTCACGCTGGCGATTTCATGAACGAGGCTGGTTGCTTGTGTAGAATCATTTGTAGATTTTAATCTTCCATGGCCATCACAGTCTCTTCCTGCGCTCTCACGCCATTGTCGGTACCCAGCCCAACGGCGGCCTCGGCAGCTTTTTGCGAATGAGCTTCTTCGCGGATGATGCGTAGTCTAATTGAACCAGTTGAATTAGCACAAGAAGACGAGCATCGAGGCGATAGAGTTGTCACTAGCACCGCAAATCCGGGGTAAGTGCGCGGAGCATGTTAGACCATCAACTAACCTTCTCTTGTGGTTCTTGCCCTTCTTATGGCCGACCAGGTTGAACTCGCTTTCAAACCATTTGGAGCATTCAACACAATAGTGTTGTCCTAGACCGGGCAGGTCCTCTGGATCTTTGGTAGCTTTGTATTGTGTGAGATGCTTAGACGACTGGATATCAGCGCGGACTTGATCGTAGTCTCTACACAAATACAAGTTAGGTTAGCCATGCACGTATGCGCAACACATGCGGGAGTATCAAGAAGAAGGATCCTTACCTAGTCCTGCGCTTGGTCTTAATTTTCCTAACAGCACCCATTTTTTTTTTTGATATCACGACGGAGGCCCAAAATAGCGATAGTATGGAGTACCTAGCCTGACGGGATGCTCTCCAGTGATCGTGGTAGAGGGCAGTTAGTACCGATAAACGGAGCGAAACTAAAACCCAGGAGCGGGTCGCTGCCCTTGAAATTTCCGCCTTTGTGCGTGCGAGAAGAAATTCCTCAAACGTCTCGCACTTGATTGGGCGTAGGGGGCAAGGATCTTGGCGGCGGGCCGCGGGACTCCCATCGGCAGGCCTCGGCTCACGCTCGGCTCTCTGTCAGCAGCGAGCTGTTTGTACGGCCATTTCCCCGTGGTTTCCGTAATTTATGACGTTGCTATGCGTTCGGCATGTTGCCGCCGGAACAGCCAGTCGTCCACTGGTGGTTCAGGTGAAATAATACACCGACCCAATAATGGCTTCTTGCGCCCACTTCAGGTTGCAGGTCCCCTCAGTAACAAGACAGACACCGATGGAAAAGACGGTGCGGTATTTTTGAATGGTGCTTTGGGGCCAATTCTGTACTCTTGCGATCATAGCAAAATATTTTATACCCTCCTTAATGGCGAGTGAAGACATCAATTCTAGCATCTACTCCTAGAAGACATTGCAACAAGGTGACGTCGAAAGAATGTCCTTTGATGTAGCATATAATCCGTCACACATGATTGGGTCACCGCTGCCTCTCACATGCCCTGTGCACGAGCTGTGAGTGCGGGCGCTGGTGGCCGGTAAGTAATCAGCATTACAATCTTGTACTGTCAGAAACACTTTAATGACGGCCTCCCCGGAAACAAGACCGAAATACTAGTAGCCAGCTGAGTGCTACGCCAACGTACAAAGGTAGAATAGCAACTAAGTGAAGGGTCGTGGAGGACATGGGGGTGGATTTCCGCGCATCCTCAGATCACGGATTTGACAGTCCGATTACGCCTCCTGGAGCAAAGACCACTGACAGCGAAGCGTTTTCGAATCGACGGGCACCCTGCGGTTGGCCGGGTAAAGGCAAAGGAGAACATTATGGGTCCTGGAGGTGAAAGGGAGGTCTGAAAGTCTGAAAAGGTCGACCGGAATTTCACCAAAATTACCGTATTATGACGGTAAGAAGGGGGTAGATCCAGCCACTTCCATCTCTCCGGTCGCACGCTACGAATGCGTACGGGACTCGTACTGTCAAGGAGCGGTTACGGGTCACGGCGCTGGCCCTCTTCTCCGGTTTAGTAAATCGCTGTCTGGCGGAAACAAGAATTCTTTCCCACTCAGAGAGCTTCCTTTTATCTACCCCATTTTCCCTTCTCTCTTGCTTTTTCCTCTTCCTCTCTCTTTCTCTCTTTCTCACTCCACTCTATCACACCTTTTTGGGTTGTCTCTCCTTGGATGTGTTGCGGCCTTGCCCACCTCGCATAGAGAGCTTCCATCATGATCTCCACAAGGCTTGCGCGCATGGGTGCGCTGGTAAGTTCTACCTTGACACGTACTCCTTATTCAGCGAGGCAACAGCCATCGACTCGCAAGGCTGAGAGTCGATGGCTGGCCAACTGATGTCGTCCTGGGTTCAACGAAATACTAACTGAATTGTTGATAGGCCCCTAAGTCCCGTCTTGTAAGCCTTCGAGCCTTCCTTCAACCTTGGAGATCCCACACTGCGATAGTTCTGGGAAGAGGTGAAAACCCAGGAAGTCTTGAAATACTAATTATGAATTGTTACAGTTCCTCGGGACCCGGGGTCTGGCTACCGTCAGCGACTCTCCCCTCGACAAGAAGGTCGAGATGACCAACCTCGAGAAGGTGAGTGGTGGATGTCCCTCAATGAAAGCTACCCGTGCCCTCGGCTGGCTTCGGGTATGCGAATACCGGATTTGGAACACAATTTGCTAACAGGCGCTTCGCAGGGTAACTACATCAACTACAAGTACGCAAACACCACAGTGGCCTTCCTCAACTCAGGAGGCAAACAACATTCCCATCAATGGAATCGCGTGCTAATGTCTTATTTTTCACTTGTACAGGAAGATGTCCGAGAACCTCGACATTGTTCGTCGTCGCTTGAGCCGTCCTCTTACCTACGCCGAGAAGGTTCTGTACTCTCACCTTGACGACCCGCACGGTCAGGACATCGAGCGTGGTACCTCCTACCTGAAGCTGCGCCCCGACCGTGTTGCTTGCCAGGATGCCACCGCCCAGATGGCCATTCTTCAGTTCATGTCCGCTGGCATGCCCTCCGTCGCTACCCCCACTACTGTCCACTGTGACCACTTGATTGAGGCTCAGCTTGGTGGTGACAAGGATCTTGCCCGTGCCAACGAGATCAACAAGGAAGTCTACGACTTCTTGGCCTCCTCTACCGCCAAGTACAACATTGGTTTCTGGAAGCCCGGTTCCGGTATCATTCACCAGATCGTCCTCGAGAACTATGCCTTCCCCGGTGGTCTGATGATTGGTACCGACTCTCACACTCCTAACGCTGGTGGTCTTGCTATTGCTGCCATTGGTGTCGGTGGTGCTGATGCTGTCGATGTCATGGCTGGTCTTCCTTGGGAGCTGAAGGCCCCCAAGGTCATCGGTGTTAAGCTGACCGGTGAGATGTCTGGCTGGACTACCCCCAAGGGTAAGAATACTCACGTCAATTCTAAACGTTGTGGACAATCAGCTCACCAGTTCGTACAGATATCATCCTCAAGGTCGCCGGTCTCCTCACTGTCAAGGGTGGTACTGGTGCTATCATTGAGTACCACGGTCCTGGTGTCAACTCCTTGTCCTGCACTGGTATGGCTACCATCTGTAACATGGGTGCTGAAATCGGTGCCACTACCTCTCTCTTCCCCTTCAACGACCGCATGTACGACTACTTGAAGGCCACCAAGCGTACGCAGATCGGTGACTTCGCCAGAAGCTACGCTAAGGAGCTCCGCGAGGATGAGGGTGCTGAGTACGACCAGCTGATTGAGATCAACCTGTCCGAGCTCGAGCCCCACGTCAACGGTCCCTTCACCCCTGACTTGGCTACCCCCATCTCCAAGTTCAAGGAGGCTGTTGAGACCAACAAGTGGCCTGAGGAGCTCAAGGTCGGTCTTATCGGCTCTTGCACCAACTCTTCCTACGAGGATATGTCCCGTGCCGCCTCCATCGCCCGCGATGCCCTCGACCACGGGCTGAAGTCCAAGTCTATCTTCACCATCACCCCTGGTTCCGAGCAGATCCGTGCCACCATTGAGCGTGACGGCCAGCTCCAGACTCTTGAGGAGTACGGTGGTGTCATCCTTGCCAACGCTTGCGGTCCCTGCATTGGTCAGTGGGATCGTCGCGACATCAAGAAGGGTGAGGCCAACTCCATCATCTCTTCTTACAACCGTAACTTCACCGGTCGTAACGATGCCAACCCCGCCACCCACGCCTTCGTTGCCTCTCCCGACCTTGTTGTTGCCATGACCGTTGCGGGTACCCTCAAGTTCAACCCCCTCACCGACAAGCTCAAGGACAAGGACGGTAACGAGTTCTTGCTTAAGGCTCCTTCCGGCGAGGGTCTCCCCGCCCAGGGCTACGACCCCGGCCGTGACACCTACCAGGCTCCTCCCAAGGACCGTGAGTCTGTTGCCGTCGCTGTCTCCCCCGAGAGTGACCGTCTCCAGCTACTTGCTGGCTTCGAGAAGTGGGATGGCAAGGATGCCACCGGCATCCCTATCCTGATCAAGTGCCAGGGTAAGACCACCACCGACCACATCTCCATGGCTGGCCCATGGTTGAAGTACCGTGGACACCTTGACAACATCTCCAACAACATGTTGATTGGTGCCATCAACGCCGAGAACGGTGAGGCCAACAAGATCAAGAACGCCTTCACTGGTGAATACGATGCCGTTCCCGCCACTGCCCGTGACTACAAGGCCCGTGGTGTTAAGTGGGTCGTCATTGGTGACTGGAACTACGGTGAGGGTTCCTCCCGTGAGCACGCCGCTCTGGAGCCCCGCCACCTTGGTGGTCTTGCCATCATCACCCGCTCCTTCGCCCGTATCCACGAGACCAACCTCAAGAAGCAGGGTATGCTCCCCTTGACCTTCTCCGACCCTGCCGACTACGACAAGATCAAGCCCGATGACAAGGTTGACCTCCTCTGCACTGAGCTCGAGGTTGGCAAGCCCATGACTCTCCGCGTCCACCCCAAGGATGGCGCTTCCTTCGACGTCAAGCTCAGCCACACCTTCAACGAGTCCCAGATCGAGTGGTTCAAAGATGGTTCTGCTCTGAACACCATGGCCCGCAAGGCTGGCAAGGCTTAAACTGCTAGTCATCAAAACAACTCGACAAGAGTGGGCCTAGGGCCACGATGAGCGACTAGCTCATCTGTAAACTACAAATATGGTTTCTGTCCGCTGAGATGAAACATGATGATACCTCCAAGGGACTGGTTCAAGGTCTCGGTGGATTTTGCCGAGCAGCGGGGAAGCGGCTGCTGGCTGGAAGATGCGGAGTGGTGATCCGAAAAATCTAACGAATTGTTTCTGCCATCAGGGCCTGGTTTCATTTGTACCCTTCAGATTTTAGGGTGGACTACATGGATATACTCTTTTTGTTTTGTTTTATATCATACACTGTATGTTAGGGACTGCGTGCATACCATTTTTCCTTCTGTTCCAACTGTGCATTTGCGTAACTCGACCTGGTCACCCTTTCTTCGTAATCTAGACCCAGCAACTTACGCTCGCGTGCCATTGATGCGTTCTCTGAATATGCCGCTTGGTATAAGAGGAGAATGTGATGCCGACGAGGCCGAGGCCAGCACAGCACACCCCACTCCGGTAGATAGCCGTTGAGTAGTAAGCCGTGTACATTTAATGATCGACCCTGCCCCATCCATATGATTTACCTCATTTTGGTCATAGTTGGGCATTGTGTCGAGTCCATCGACGATCAGATAGTGCCACTCACTCTCGCACGTGACGTGCATATCTCCGCCATCCTCGAGGATTCCCCGAGTCCATTTACTCCGCGCTTGCGGGCGACGATCTGTCAATCGTTAGACTCTAGGGCATACCTGCAGAACTAGTTCCACCATAAGGCGCGGAGATCACGTCTTCCAGAGTGAGTACCAGCGACTTTGCTTTCGTAAGCAGATTCCCCTCGCTTTCGTCGGACTGCTGATCGTGCAGGACAATACGTCTGTCGAAGAGTTCATACCGCCGCAGGCCAAGTAATCACAGAACTCGGCCCTGTAGTGCATACATCATGGCCACCCAACTCATCACCCTGTCGGAGGTGGAACGGTTAAGTTCATCGGTGCTGAGAATACTGGGCGGCAATCCGGGCAAGGTTCGTCCCATACCACTTCTATAGTCCGGTACACCTGCAGCATGCTGTGCCTTTTTTCTAACCCAGTGGATGCTGATGCTGCTTAGTTTACACTTCAAGGTGGGTGCTTCTCAACTCATATGCAAGCGGTTCATCCAAAAACTGTAGACCTCTCTGACTCATGCCCCATTAGGAACGAATACATATCTCATCGGTCGAGGTCACCAACGCATTCTGATCGACACGGGCGAGGGCAGGCCATCGTGGGCATCTCACCTCAAAGCCGTACTTGCTCAGGAAAATGCCACTGTGCACCAGGCCCTACTCACTCACTGGCATCATGATCATGTCAAAGGTATTCCGGATCTTCTGGAGCTTTGCCCCAATGTGACGATCTATAAGCATCAACCGGGTCCTGGTCAAAGCAGTATCGAGGATGGCCAGGTATTCAGCGTGGAGGGCGCAACCCTGCGTGCGTACCACACGCCGGGCCATACCGTCGACCACATGATGTTTGTCTTGGAGGAAGAGGATGCAGTGTTCACGGGCGACAGTAAGTGGGCTTTTCTCTAATGTGTATAAGTTGATTCCTGCACTCTCCTTTCTTACTGATGCAAATTGTGTTGTCAGATGTACTGGGACATGGGACCAGTGTTTTCGAAGACCTGGGCGAGTACATGGGTAGCCTACAGAGGATGCAGCATCGAGTCTCTGGCCGCGGGTACCCCGGTCATGGGGCGGTGATTGACAATGCAACGTCCAAGATCTCCGAGTATATCAAGCATCGACAGCAGAGGGAGGATGAAGTGATCCGGGTCCTACGGTACGGCCAGCTGAAGGTCGCTGATGGGGAACCGCCAATCCACCCGAAAACCTTCTGGACCGCCATGGAGCTGGTGAAAGTGATTTACAAAGACGTCCCGGAGAACCTGCATTTACCGGCCTGCCATGGCGTACAGCTTGTGCTACAGAAGTTAGAGGACGAAGGTCGAGTGGTTCATGACAGGGATCTGGATGAATGGAGCCTGGAGCGTGGCAAATCCCCGCTTTGACTCTTGTGAGAAGGATTGGGATTCGTTGTTTTTTCTATTCTTTTTTTCTTCTTTGATTTTTATTTTTTGAGTGACTGCAGGAATGCCCGGGGGCAGAATCATAGAGATACGAAGTATATGTAGTTTGGTTTCGGGAATTCTAGGAACCAATATTATTATGAAAGGAAGTTAGTCCTCATCGATTTTTTGGAAGGGCCAGGATAGACGGAGGGGCTAGACCCATCCACTGCTGGGACCTTCTTTGGGACGAATTCGGGCATCCGAACGAGCTTGGAGGTCTGGTCTGCATTGCGCCGACGTCTGCTTCGTGTTCATGCTTTTTTGAGGTGCTGTAAGCTGATGCGACAATTCTGGTCCATTGAATCCATGACTGGTCTGATTCGAATGGAAGCCATACTTGGCTCCATAGCTTCATCGCAGTGAGATAGCACTCCCTTGTAAGTTAGCAGTTTTGGTGGCGGGGTACAGTACAAGATCTGGTTGGTTGTGCGATTACGCCGTCTAACCGTCATCATGTCCGCATCTGGGCGGGGCGAAGCAGGGCCCAGGGAGTGGTTTCCGATTGAGGAGCCAAGAGGGGGAGGAAGAGTGAGGTATCCTTGAAAAAGAGAAGAAGTAATAATGACAGTACCCTGACAGGATGGAAAGCATGAAACGCAAGACACGTTCCTCTTGATATTCCCGGGACGATGAGTCGTTGGCAGGTATCCCGCGCCGAGAAATGGTTCAATCCGGGCTGTGACTTCATCGTTTGTTCGTTTTGTATCACGGATATGGATGAAGAAGTACGAGTCCTCCTCCGTCGTACACTTTGAACTTACTCCTCAGCAAATAATACTCACCAGCCAGTTAGTAAGTGAACTTTGCTGTAACTTTGTACTCGTAACTTTAGTAGTCGAGCAGTATGAGTATGAGTAGTTAAAGCAGCCTGTCGGTCGTTGTAGTGGTGGTAGTATTCCGTAGGAGTTCTTTCCCCACCCCACCTGCTTCTTCCCTCTCCCAATTCCCCCCCTCCCCCCTCCCTCCCCCCATCATCCCATCATTCCATCTCTTCTCTTTCTACTACTACTTCTTCCGCCTATACTTCCCATCTCTCCTTCAAGCGATAACTCCGATCGCAACAACTCGTCGAAGAGTGAGTTTGATACTCGTACATCCAGACACCACCACCACCACCACCACCACCACCACCGGACACACCAACCACAAATCAACCGAGAGATACTGCTGTTGTTGGATGTGCCTCTGTTTTCCACCGCCCCACTACTGGCTCAGTCGATGAACTTGCTAGTGAGGAAGTTGCTGGGTTCTTTTGATCTTCTTGCCCGAGCCCAAGCCTGGGTCGGTTGGTCCGCGCGCTGCCCGCTGCGGTGAGGTCACTTCGGCCATTATTCCCCGCCGCCAGACCTACTCTACCCTACCCCAACTCCTACCTACTTTTCCAACCTACGTCTGCCAACTAATACTACCTTTACTTACTTGAATCTTCTCTTGGCTTGTTGAACCGCTGAAGGTCTTCAATCTTGCCAATTTTGTCCTCTCCTCTCCTCTGGTGCTTTCCCTTCTCGTCTTCATTTTACCTCTCCTCTTGTCATTCCGCTTCCTCTCCGGAGTCGCGCCAATTCCTTCATAACTTCCGCTGAATCTTCAGGACTGGCCCAGATTAATTTCTTGTCCTACCCCTCCTCTCTCTTTGCCCGCTTCTGATATTTTCCCTAAACTACTATCAATCAAATCGTGAGAATCTTCACGGCATCTTCTTACATTCTTATCCTCACCTTATCGAACCTGACCAGAGCTCGGATACATATCCTCTGTTTGTGTCCATTTACATCAGTGGTCAGTGAGTCGACCGCGCATCTTTCGCCATCTAGTTTTGCGCAATCGCCTGCATCACCGACAGCATGCCTTCTCTCGATAACCCCGTCCCGAACGAGGCCAGGCTGTTACTAGTCTCCAACCGCCTCCCTATCACCATCAAGCGATCTGAGGATGGCAGATATGACTTCTCCATGTCTTCTGGAGGACTGGTCAGTGGACTCAGCGGTCTCTCGAAGTCCACGACGTTCCAATGGTACGGCTGGCCCGGTTTGGAAGTCCCAGAGGAGGAAATTCCCGAGGTAAAACAACGTTTGAAGGATGAGTACGGGGCTGTTCCGGTCTTCATCGATGACGAGCTTGCGGACCGTCACTACAACGGGTTCTCCAGTCAGTTCATCCCCTCGCCAATTGAATCGCATAGTCGGCGCGATGTACTAGAATGCCCACTTCGTGACCATATTCGCTGACCTCTTGCCTGCTTCTCTAGACTCGATTCTCTGGCCTCTTTTCCATTATCATCCTGGTGAGATCACCTTCGATGAGTCTGCCTGGGAGGCATACAAGGAAGCCAACCGCCTCTTCGCAAAGGCCGTCGCGAAAGAAGTTCAAGACGGTGATTTAATTTGGGTCCATGACTATCATCTGATGCTGCTCCCGGAGATGCTTCGCGAGGAGATCGGCAACAGCAAAGAGAACGTTAAGATCGGGTTCTTCCTTCACACGCCCTTCCCTAGCAGCGAAATCTATAGAATTTTGCCTGTGCGGAATGAGTTGCTGCTCGGCGTCCTTCACTGTGACTTGATCGGCTTTCACACCTACGATTATACCAGACACTTTCTGAGCGCCTGCTCGCGTTTGCTGTATGTATTGGACGACTGACTTCTCACACATGACCCAGAGTTGCTAACTCTAGCGTTAGGGGGTTGCCTACTACTCCAAATGGAATCGAGTTCCAGGGCAAATTGATTGCCTGTGGCGCCTTCCCAATCGGCATTGATCCCGAGAAGTTTGAGGAGGGCCTCAAAAAGGAGAAGGTTCAAAAACGCATTGCAATGCTAGAGCAGAAATTCCAGGGCGTGAAGCTCATGGTGGGCGTCGACCGTCTTGACTATATTAAAGGCGTCCCTCAAAAGCTACACGCGCTTGAGGTCTTCCTCAGTGATCATCCTGAGTGGGTCGGAAAGGTTGTATTGGTTCAAGTAGCGGTCCCGAGCAGACAAGACGTGGAAGAGTACCAAAACCTAAGGGCTGTGGTCAACGAACTCGTGGGCCGCATCAACGGTAAATTCGGTGGGTACCCCCAGAGTGACTTCTCGAGACCTTGCTAACGGAAGGACAGGCACTGTTGAGTTCATGCCGATTCACTTCCTACACAAGTCAGTCAACTTCGACGAGCTGATCGCTCTCTACGCCGTATCCGATGCCTGCATTGTCTCGTCCACACGTGATGGCATGAACCTCGTTGCCTACGAATACATCGCCACCCAAAAGAAACGCCATGGCAGCTTGGTTCTCTCGGAGTTCGCGGGTGCGGCGCAAAGCTTGAATGGCAGTATCATTATCAACCCCTGGAACACCGAAGAGCTTGCAGCGGCTTATCAGGAGGCTGTCACAATGAGCGATGAGCAGAGGGCCCTGAACTTTTCCAAGCTGGACAAATATGTCAACAAGTATACAAGGTATGGCGAAGCTTGATAGTGCTATACCAGGATTCTAACTAACATGTTATAGCGCATTCTGGGGCCAGTCATTTGTTTCTGAGCTGACTCGGATATCGACTCAATCGGCGGAGAAGTTCCAAGCCAGGAAGGCTTCTATAGTTCCAGGTCCCTCTAACCATTCGGAGCACACGAATGGTGTCGAGGCTCCACAAGAAGCATAGGCATGGACTTAAGTGCTGATAGACCTTTCGCTTGGCTTGCAGAAAGCGTTGGGCTGGGGGGAGATTGCGTATTGTGGTGTTTATTTTATTCTTGCTTTCCATATGGCGTGCTTATCCATTTCCTGGTCGAGTCATCTATCTTCCACCGTATGGAGTACATCAAAAGAGTCATTGTTGCGTTTAGGCCACAGGTTTCATGGTTTTGTTGGGATTGATTCTCGAGGTGTTGGTGTTGTGTATGTACAGGAGCATGGTTTAGAATAATCTCAACTGATTATATCCCTCTTATCACTTCGGAAGATTGTAAGTGAGATGCACCATTATGACGTATAATTAGACGTTGTTTGTCAATGCAAATGATGTACAGGACAAAACCATCACGAGCAGCTGAGCGTTGGACCGATGCGGAGTAAAGGTATGAGTGGGTGCAAAAAGTGCAAACATGACCGAGATTGCAGAAATTCTCGGCCAACTCGCCCGCGGCCGCGATGCTGCTCCGATCTGAAATCTAGCCGTGCCTGTCGACTCAACATTACCCCAGCACTCTTTACTTTCCGGGTTCTGCTCTGCGATTACAGTATACCGGCTTTTATCATTCAAGAAAATTGTCACCAATAGGGATCTTTCTGAAGATCAAGCCTCACACGATCGCATCCCTACGAGCGGTCTTGTCTAACAGATTGAGTCGGTCGTAACTGAATAACGACTCTACGCTACTCCACCGGTCGTGGTCCTTCCTACACCACACAGGCTTCGCAATGGCCTTCAGTAACGTGCTCCGGGTCTTCCAGCCCCTGCGAACTTCTATTCTCCGCACCCCCGCCTCAGCCACCCAACACCTCTCCAGACCTACGTTCCTCCAACGATCAATCGCCACGACGTCCCCCAAGTTCCTCGAGCAACAAACAGAGCAGCAGCCGCAGGAGCAACCACCCGTGGAGACAGCCACCCCGACCGCCGATGCCCCTTCCTCGAGCGCCCAGACCGAGGTCCCTCCCTCGCTCCGCCAGTACGCCTACAAACTGAAAAAGGGCACCGTCATATCCGCCGGCCGCATGGTGCGCACCGTCCGCGTCCTGCACTGGAACGTCGAGTGGGACGCTCATCTCCGCAAGTACTACCGCAAGAAGGAGATCATCATGGTCTCGGACCCTCGCGAGTCGCTGCGTGTCGGCGACGTGATCGAGTTCTCGTCCGGGTACCCCAAGAGCCGCAACGTGCACCACGTCGTGGAGCGGATCATCGCCCCCTTCGCAGATGCCATCGAGGACCGGCCCGGCGTGATGACGCGGGCGGAGCGAGACGCCGCGCGCGCGGAGAAGCGGACGGCCAAGTGGGAGCGCAGGGAGGCCCGCATCCGCGAGGCGGGCGGCAACGTAAAGGGCGGTCCTTCCCCGGAGCACGTCGGGCGCATCCGGAGGTTGATCCAGGAGCGACAGGACTCGTTCGTGCCGCAGATCGGGTTCAAGAGAGCGGAGAATGCGGCGAAGAAGGCTGAGGAGGCTGCTAAGGCGGAGGCGGAGGCGGCTGCTAAGGCGGCTGCTGAGGAGGCTGCTAAGGTTAAGCCTGCTAAGGATACGCCTGCTGCTAAGACTACAAAGAACTAAGGTGGGGGACTTGAGGGAGAAAGGGGAGTGAGAGAGTTTTTTTGTCTGATTTACTTCTTCTCATTGACTGTGTATGGTTTGTATGTAAACCTTGTGTATATTATAGCTATCTATGTGGCATACTGTGGAATCTCAGTTCGAGCTGGTCTAGCCAGTCTAGTGAAGTTAGCCAGACTCTGGGGGCAAAGAGTGAAGTAGAGTGAGGGCATACGCGAGACTACTCCGTCTCATGCTATAGGAGCCGAGCCGGCATCTACCGTAGGTGCAATTGCATAGTACATACTTCTTGCGCTGGCCCACCCTCGCCATTGATTATATTAGACAATAGCTTATTATTAGCAAATACAAAAGTAGATCAAACTGCCATGTCAAGCTAGGTCAACCGTTCACTCTACACTTTTCATCATGTAAACGAAGATTGGCACCTGATAACAAACGGCCTCCTGTCGTACCCCCCCCCCGGTTTGCGCGGTGCGGGCAGCAAAATTACGGCTGCCAAGCCCCGTCTTTGGGTCGCGAAGTCACCCCAGTGACTTTGCCGTTGTTTACTTTCCCTCCAACTCCTTCCCTACTCTCTCTCTCTCTCTCTCTCTCTCTCTCTTTGTATTAATCGCCACACTTCCTCGACATTCTCCGCCTTCGAGCCCTTCTACCTCCTAAAATCCGGGACTAGCTTATCTTTCAGTCACCGGAACAACTCCATCTCGAAAATTCCTTCATACTGTTTGTTGGTCGTGAGTTCCGGAACCACGCCCTTGTCTGTATTCCCGGTTATTCGCCCGTGCACGAGATCTGCAACCATTTGCGCTTTTCCAGGTACGTCTTCATTTCTGGGAGGGATGGGGACTCTTCGATACCGTTCCTATCTTCTGCTTCCTTGAGATTCAGGATGTGGCAACGCGCTTGGACTTGTCAACTCGAGGAATCGAGCCTCAACAAGCGCAGTTCGATGCTATTCAGTCTATATTCCCTTGAGAGCGCAATCGCTGATCTTGTCGCTCTGTCTCTTTCTCATCATCTAGTGGAAAATCTCTCTAAGTAACCCATCAGAATGGCTGAGGGAGAAGAGGATTTCTCCTCCTTACCATTGCCCGACCGGTTCGCGCACAAGGTGAGTCTACCCACCGCAAACTCCCTCGTTCTAGGCTCGACGGGCGACCATTTGGCGAAAACAATAATACTGATTGCGAGCCCCTCCCCGAATTATAGAACTGGAAGGTCCGCAAGGAAGGATACGAAGATGCCAAACAACAATTCGAAAAGACGCCAGACGAGTCGGATCCGGTATTCACTCCCTTCATACAAGACCCCGGTCTTTGGAAAGGGGCGGTGGCAGACTCCAATGTGGCGGCTCAACAAGAAGGTCTTGGGGCCTATTGTGCATTTTTGAAGTTTGGTGGAGTACAGGCCTGTACAAGGTGAGCTATCTATCTGTTTCCCAGTTTTTCTTTTCTTTGCGTGGGGGAAGGGGGATTGTTTTCGAATCGTGGAGCTCCGGGATGGAGAATTAGAGAGATGGAGGGGAGGTTGATCTGGGAGCACAAGACTAACAGAATGTCCCATCCCTCTAGAACGCGCGCAACTACAATTTTACCGATCTGTGAAAAGGGTCTCATATCTACACGACCAGCCGCCAAAGCGAATGCGATCGAGGCCCTGCTTCTGTGTGTGGAGATGGATAAGGCGGATCCGGTGATCGAGGAGATGATGCCCGCATTGTCACATAAGATGCCCAAGGTGATTGCGGCCGCGCTGGCGGGGTTGAAGACGATCTATCACAACTTTGGGTGTAAGCTTGTGGATCCTAAGCCAGTACTCAAAGCTTTGCCCAAGGTCTTCGGGCACGCAGACAAAAATGTTCGGGCGGAAGCTCAAAATCTTACCGTGGAGCTCTATAGGTGGCTGAAGGAAGCCATCAAGCCCCTTTTCTGGGGCGAGCTAAAGCCTGTTCAACAGACTGATTTGGAGAAGTTATTCGAAGCCGTGAAACAGGAACCGCCACCAAAGCAGGAGAGGCTCACCAAAGCGCAACAGGATGCTGCGGCTGTCGCCAGTGCTGCTCCTGCAGCAGGTGGCGGTGACGAGATGGAAGGAGTTGAGGAATATGCAGAGGATGAGGGCGAAGTCGACGTTTTCGATCTCGCAGAACCTGTGGATGTGGCGTCCAAAGTACCCGGCAACTTCACAGAACAGCTTTCTTCGTCGAAGTGGAAGGACAGGAAGGAGGCTCTGGATGAACTCTATACTGTACTGAACGTACCCAGAATCAAGGATGGGCCATTTGATGAGGTGGTACGGTTATTGGCCAAGTCCATGAAAGATGCCAATGTTGCAGTCGTGACGGTTGCCGCTAACTGTGTTGACCTACTTGCCAAAGGCCTGCGCAGCGGATTCCTGAAGTATCGACCCACTATCATGGCCCCGATGTTGGAACGCCTGAAAGAGAAGAAACAAAGCGTTGCAGATGCCCTAGGCCAAGCACTCGACTCGGTCTTTGTCGCAACCAGTTTGACGGAATGCTTGGAGGAGATTCTGGAATTCCTCAAACACAAGAACCCTCAAGTCAAGCAAGAAACCCTCAAATTCTTGATCCGCTGCCTTCGTACCACCAGGGACGTGCCAGCTAAACCAGAGATCAAGTCGATTGCAGAGGCGGCTACCAAGCTTCTTACTGAGTCTAGCGAGGTCAACCGTGCTGGAGGCGCAGAGGTTCTGGGTACCTTGATGAAAATCCTGGGAGAGCGGGCAATGAATCCTTATCTTGACGGTCTCGATGATATCCGGAAAACGAAGATCAAGGAGTTCTATGAGACGGCGGAGGTCAAGGCGAAGGACAGACCCAAGCCTATCGTTGGCCCGCCAAAGACTACTTCTGCAGTTGGTAAGAAGGTCCTCGGTGGCAAGAAGCCAGCACTCGGAACGAAGAGGCCTGCAGCTGCACCAGCTCCTGTCGAGGAGCCTCCAGCACCGTCCCCATCCAAGCCCGCCACGAGAGCAATCCCATCTAAGTTGGGTGGCCTCGCAAAGCCCGGCAGCGTTCCTGCCCCTAGTGGCCTCAAGAAGAGGCTTGCTGGTCAGGCTGGCTTGGCATCACCCCAAAGGCGTGTAATATCACCCCCTTCAGAGGATCAGCCGCCGCCACCTGCCGCGCCTCGACTTGGTCTCGGAAGGGGTCTTGCTGGTCGCCCAATCGCCCGGCCAGCGGCTCCGGCTGAGCCAGCCCCAGCCCCTGTCGCACCGCAAATGAGTGGCATGTCTGCCGCTGAACGTGCGGAATTGGAAGAGTTACGCCTCGAGAAAGAGCGATTCACCCGCACTATTGATGATCTGAAATATGACCGGACTAAGTTGAACTCTCAGATCACAGAACTACAGAACCAAAACGCCCAGCTCATCGAAGACCACACTAGGGATGTTCTGAGCATCAAAGCTAAAGAGACTCAATTGGTACGAGCACGCAGTGACGCGGAGGCAGCAGAACAGACGGTTCAAAAGCAGCAACGCGAGATTGAGCGCTTGAAGCGCGAGCTAGCTAGAGCGCTGCGCGCCAGTGCCATTAGCCCACCAAATGCCCTGCCTGACAGCAACATCAGTATCTCGGAACCAGGATTGGTCTATCAAGACTCGGGCCACAATGGGTACAATCCCATGTCCCGAGCTGGACTCCACATAGGATCACGATTTGATACCTCCCGGCCGCGTAGCTATGCTTCCACCAGCCCCAGCGAAGAGAAGGAGAACAACGGCCTGGACTCTCCATCACTGAGCACCAGAGAAGGAGCCCTTGGTCGACGGAAGCTCAGCCCTACGTTTGGGGCCGGCTACTCTGGCTTAGGCAGCCCCACACGCTCATCTGTACGGGGTTCTGGCAGTGCTTCGGGCGAGGACCAGCCTGCCAGGTCCACGGAACCAGCGGAGAACTGGAAAAGAGCTGCGGAAGTGACAAGCCAACTCAAAGCAAGAATCGAACAAATGAAGGTGGGCATACCCCGTTCCATTTCGCACACCATCTGGCACTAACGATGTATACCACATATAGGCAAGGCAAGGCCTTACACGACCACCTGCTCAGCGCTAATGACCGAATGACCAACAACCAACTTTTATCCGATTCCCCTTCATCACATATTATATTCTTCTTGCTTCGACTGATATCAACCTCCGTTTGCACGCAGCAAGTGTGGAGCTTCCAAGAATTCTTTCCCTTTTTCTTTGTCTATCCTATTTTCTATTTTCATTTTCCCCCCTCTTACTACTACCGACTCCCTTTGGTAGTCTCTTGACCTTCTCAAATGGCGCGGGACCTGTCATTGCTTTCGATGACTGGAGCATATCGGATGGTTGGAATGGAAGGGGTGTATTGCTGGCTGTATCAATTCGTTTCTTCCTGTTATTTTTCTTGATTATTTGGCGGGGGTTTCTAGCTTTTGTCATACCATACCACACGCCAGCATACCACACGTTGCTATTCTCTGTATAGATGCTTTCTTGTACCATGCGTTTGATCTCATGGGATGTATTTTATTACTACTCTGGTGGTGTGGGCTAGGAACTAGCATTGATTGCATTTTCGTGAGGACCTGCCAAAGCCAAGTATGATTATTCGGAGCCTAATCGTCCAGGTGTCAGGAGTTAATGCCTGAGACTGAGACGGCAGAATTGAGTGCCTAAGGTGATACAGCCTCCGCGCTACTTTTGCAGGATACGGAGTAACTAACCACTGAAGGAACGAGCGGAGCGTGGTCAATCCTTTGGAGCATATTCTGTTCTGCATCTCTCAACTACGCTTTACGAAGTACAGACCTCTTTACATGAATGCTTGTTTCCTTTTTCCTTCTCTCAACTTTGGATGGAAAAAAATATAGTATACTTCTACGAGAAAAGTGTAGGAGAGAAAGGTTGAGAAGTCATTGGAAAATAGCATTCATGAGGGGGTATCTGCAAGGTTGTACATGGAGGAGGAAAGGTAGAAGATCGCGTCATTGAGAAAGGTTTCGTTTGGGTATAAAGAGATTTTTTGATAACCCGTCAGTGCAGTGAAATTTTTTCGGTTCACATAACTAAGCTTTTTTGGTTTGGTATCTGGGGATCTAGTGACACGAGACTAGCTTAGACACGGATGGCACCCTCAACGGCCTTGCGCTTCTTCTCCTGGCGGGCGACAGCCTTGGCGCCCATGATACCACCACCCCAGTGGCGGCGGGACTCCTCGTACTTGTCGGTGTAACCCTCCTTGATGGCGGAGAGGAGCTTGGAGAACTCGGTGTTGTCCTCGGAGCGGACCTCGGTGAGAGCGAGGACGGCAGCGGTCTGGAGACGTAACATGTTAGGATGGATTGCTCGAGAGGGGTTGGTTGGAGTAGTTGGAGCGGTAGACATACCTTCTTGTGGACAACGGTACCGAGACGGGCCTTACCCTTGACGATGGCGTAAGGGACACCCATCTTGCGGCAGAGGGCGGGCAGGAAGACGACCAGCTCGATGGGGTCAACGTCGTGGGCAATGAGGACGAGGGAGGCCTTCTTGTTCTCGACGAGGCCGACAACGTGGTTGAGACCGTACTTGACGTTGTAGGGCTTCTTGGAGACCTCCTCCTTCTTCTTGCCCTCGGCGACGGCGGTGGCCTCGACGTGGAGACGCTCCTTCTTCTCGGCCTTGGTCTCGGGGCGGTACTTGTTGAGGAGCTTGAAGGTCTGGGCGGCGGTGTTGCGGTCCAGGGTGCTCTGGAACTGGGCGATGGAAGGGGGGACCTTGAGGCGGAGGTTCAAGATCTTCTTCTGGCGCTGGAGGCGGACATACTCGGGCCACTTGACGAAGCGGCTCAGGTTGCGCTTGGGCTGGATGTCCTGGCCAATGCCGAAGTTGCGGGAACGCTTCTCGATGAGAGGGTTCTGAAGGAGATTCGTTAGCATTTTCCCGTTGCCGGTGGGTAATTGTGAGAGATCTAGACCTTGAGAAGCCTAAGATCTCACGGGTGTGTGCTCACCTTAGCGGCCTTCTTGGAACCAGCCTTACCCTGGGGGTAAGGGAGGGAGGCAACCTTCTTTCCGGACTTAGGGGGCTATCATTGAGAAAAAAGAAGAAATCAGCATCGTGTGCTCCACCATGTTGCGTTTTTTTTTCTTGTGCTGAAACTCTTCTTTAAACTCTAGAGAGATCACAAAGTTGAAGCCGAATCTTTGATTAGTTCCTGGTCCTGTGCGTACAAACTATATCTCAAGCTCATATCACACGGGGAATAGGAACCAAAAGAATCCGACTACAACTTTGCGACTCCAGCCAAATCATCACTGATCCCGTTTCACTTGAGAAGGCCCAATGAAGGGTTCCCGAGATCCACGGAATGCAGCGGAAAGCATTGCCATCTCGGCTGTGATGCGCGAGATGCAAGCTACCGACTTTCTACAGTTGTGATCTTTCACACAACATGTCTGTCGTCGGCAATTGTTTGTCGATGACAAGGGTGTGTTTTCTCTCTCTCTCTCTCTAGAGAATCGAGGAGTTTCGTTGCTTCATTGGGATGTATAAATCTCAAATGCTTACCACCATTGTTGTCGACTGAGATCCGCAGCGGCGTTGAGTGACGGGATTGACGATCGAGAGAAGAGAAGAAGAAAGGAAGGGAAGCAATTTGATTTTCGCGGAGAAAAGGCCGCCCGCCGCTTCTGTGGGCCGCCTTCGGAACAACTGCCTTGCCGGCGTTCCAGACATCGGTCTATCACGTGCCATAGGGCTCAACCCCCTGGCAGAATCGCGGGCGGTGTACTGTACTGTACCATGCTTCAGCCTGAGTCGCGCTCCCTACGAATAGCCTCAATTGCAGTAGCTATCAATACAGTAGCCACGGTAATTCCATTGTAGATTGTCCGCCGAGTCACTGGTTCCCTCGCACTGAAAATCAAAGCCAAGTCTAGTCTAATCACATTGACCCCAACGCCATCAACAGAACAGCCCTTTATGCGCATACAAAATAACACAACCGCATACAGCAAAAGAAGATCATTACACATGAGAATCACATCCCATCCCAAACGTCGTACCAGATATCGCTTTATGCATAGCCCTTCCCCCTCTTTCCCAACCGTCTACAACCGTCCCGAGCAAACAAGAGTCTACCTCCACCCACCCAGCCCAGGCAACCCACCCCTCCCGAGCCCCGAACTGGCGGCCTGAATCGCCCGCTTCTTCCCCAGCTGGCCCTCCTGGCTCTTGACGCCGGCCACGATCTTCTCGATGTTGGTCTCGACCACCACGCCGCCGACGATCATCTCGCCCAGCACCGCGTGCATGGTCTCGTACCCGAAGATGAGATCCAGCTCGCAGACGTTCTCGAACATGCGGTCCAGGGCCTCGACGAAGACCTGGATCAGATCGATCAGCGCCAGGGGCGACTCGGTCGAGGTCGAGATCATGATGAAGGAGAGGGTGGCGTAGGTGCGGTAGGTGATCTGGGTGGGCGCGTCCGAGGGCCCGTTGGCGGCGCTGGCGCTGGCCCCGCGCGAGAGCAGCGGCGGGAGGGGCAGGAAGTTGCAGGCGCTTGGGGGCCGCTGGGCGACGAGGTTGTAGATCTGGGTAATGAGGGTTTGTTTGGTTTGGGTGTCCTGGTGCGTGTGTGTGCGAGAGAGGTTAGCAGTGACCAGGCTGAGTGAGGGAAATAGGAGGTGGGTGAGCAATAGATAAGGGGAGAATGTCTCACAATTTGAGTATAGAACTTGGTCAGACGGGGTTGACCGTTGTTGTTGAACACTAGGACGGCGTTGATCATCTTGGCGGTTAGGCGGTAGGCACAGTATGTTTTCAATGAATGAGTGAGACGAAGACTAAGCGGGGGTGACTGAAATGCTCCAAGTAAGACAAGCTCAGAAGAAGTACCTGCAGTAGTCCGAGTCAGTCTGGACGTATCTCCGAAGCTCTCCGTTTTCCCCTCCGCTGCCGTGACGCATCTTCTTATCGATTAGGCGGTGGAGTCAAGCGGACCGTCCTAGAATGTCACCGCCCGGCAGATTTTCTGATTCCGTGCGCCGCGGAGGAAAGCTTGTCTCCGAATTTAAAAGTCAAGCCTCAACAACCTTGTTCTGTGTTGAGGAAACACCAACTCTCCACCATGGTTATCCAACTATATACTCTCAGATCTTCGATTCGGCCGTTACAGGCACAAGTCCATCGATATTTCTCCTCAGCAGTAACAGCGAGGAACTCCTCGCCTGCCGAGCCCCCGTTGGAAGAAGACTTCTTCTGCCCTGCAGAGCCGCCAAAGCCTCAAGAACCTCAACACCCTACCTCACCGCAGACGCTTCCCTCCGACCTCCCAGCACCCCCAACCCCGAAGACGCTTCTCTCCAACCTTCCAGCAACGATCCTCAATGATTACTATGAGACCGAGTGCCCCAATGACGCCCAGCTCGCCTACGCCGACAAGTTCTTCGCCCCCTCGCGCCACTCCCCGGTCAAGCTATGGTCCGCCAGCAAGTTCCGCACGACGCCCATGTCCGCCCACGAGCCCGAGGTCTGCTTCCTCGGCCGCTCCAACGTCGGCAAGAGCTCGCTCCTGAACGCCCTCATGACGGGCGAACTCTGCTACACCTCGAGCAAACCCGGCCGGACGCGGGAGATGAACGCCTTCGGCATCGGCGGCACCAAAGGCGGCGAGTCGAAGATCGTGCTGCTGGATATGCCGGGCTACGGCTACGGCGGTCGGTATGATTGGGGCAAAGAGATCATGAAGTATCTGCGGAAGAGGAAGCAGTACGGTTTTGCCCCCAGCACCAACCCATCACCACATCACCACCACCCCCCAAACCCCTCCCCCAACATCCCTATAACTAACACCACGCAAAAATCTAGACTCCGCCGCATCTTCCTCCTCATCGACGGCTTCCACGGCATGAAGCCCATGGACCGCGTCATCATCCGCTGGCTCAGCGAATACGGCCTCCCCTACCAGATCGTCGTCCCCAAGATCGACAAGGTCCTGGTCAAGCAGCGCAACCAGCTCCGCTCCGGCGTCTCGGAATCCGGCCTCGCCGCGTGCCGGGACCTGCACCGCGAGTTCCGGGAGGCGGCCGCCGAGATCGCCCAGGAGTGGAACGGGCCCCCGCCCCTCGGCGAGACCCTGACCGCCTGTGCGCAATTGGAGCGCACGCCCGGCCATTACATCGGCATCTCTGCGCTGCGTTGGGCCATCTTGAAGGCGGCCGGGTATGATGCGAATCTGGACGCGGAGGGGAATGTGATTAAGCAAGAGAAGGTGGTGGCAGCGCCGATGCGGGTACAGAAAGAGGAGGGGAAGGGGGAGGGGGAAGAAGAAAAGAAGAATACTGGGAAGAAGGCCGGTCAAGTTGCGATAAGGAAGGTGACCGCGCGGCCAAGCAAGCGTTCATCTCGAGTGTCTCCCAAACGACGATGAAACAGAAATGGAGGCTCTTCTCGGGGTTCCCCATAACCCGAATCCACTATGGTACTACTCATACCACAGAGAGCGGAAGGGAATCAAGACACGATTCAAGACACGATTCGACGTGCCTTGAAGTGATTCTCATTGAAGACCGGGGGTGTTGATGATAATGTTCACACCAGTTTCGGGCGCCAAGTGGGTGGCTCCGCTCCCCTAAGGCGGAAGGCGTCAATATTTCGAGGCCCCATGTTTTCTGTCACATTTGGAGCAACAGCCATGCGCCCCGCGGTCTGTCCGATGCCACTGGTGCCCATTTGGAAAGGGCATTTGGCTTGACCCTGCTATCGACATGCACATCTTGCGGGTTGATGCACACATTTTGGCAAGTCCGCGTGCGACCCTCAATTCTCTCGGGCTATGCTATGATCCAGGGTCTTTGTTGGAGCTTGCTGACGCTGTCAATTTGCTCCACGAGCACATTGGGCCATTACATGTAAATAAGAAGTAATCATTAACAGGACATATGTATTCATTACAAGGGCGAGTCATGCCAGTCAAAGACATCTTCATTGATTTCTATGGCAAGTGACTATTGGAACAGCCGCAATGTGTGCGAAATATGTTTAAGCATGAACAGAGGTTGAGACCTCGAAGGCCCGGGGCTCGAGATAATGTTAGATGCATATGGACACAGAATATGCGAGACAAGACGCAAATGCACGTAATTAAGACGGAAATAACATTGACCCTGGGGTCAACAGGATGTTTTGAATGCCACAACGCCGACCCATCATTATGCCGCACATCAAAATATGCTAACCACGCTATGCAAGTCTCATTATAGGGATAGAAATTCCCTGGAGGGGTATCGTAAATGTTTCATGGCTAGATCTGTTAAGTTGAAAAAGAATGAAGTGGCCGTGCCGTTGCCTTGATGCCGACTGACTACCCTTGAAAATGGCCGCTCGTCTCTAGAGGAAAGAAAGCCGGACAGCAAGAAGCAGAGTCGGATCTAAGTATCCGACATATCGTACTCTTCGTCAGTATCGCTGACCTCGTTGCCCCAGCGATTGACAAGGATACGTCTGCCCAGCTGCTCACTGGGCACGCCGTCACGCGGAGCGCCAAAATCGAGAACCTGGAAATGGTCAGCAAACAACACTTGTATACAGCAAACACATTACTCACTTCGATGTAGGTCACTTCACGACGTTGCACTGCAGCAACGCAGCGACGATCATTGAACTTGACCTGCCAAACTCCGCCCAGATCAGTGAGAAGGTCTCTAACACACTCTCCAGTGCGAACATCCCACATCTTCAAAGTTCGATCGGAGCCGGAGATGACCTTCTGTTCGTCATGCTGGAAGCATGTGATCGCCCCTGTATGAGCACTCAGCAAGTTCTTGCATTGACCGGTCTCCGGGTCCCAGATCCGCAGAGTACAATCTGCAGCTGCTGAAACCAGACGTTCATATTTCAAGTCGAGCAGCCCAACGAGAGAGCTATGACCTTCCAGGTTGAACAAGAGAGACCCTGTCTCCAGTGACCAGACTTTGATCATGACGTCCATGGCTCCACTGATACAGCGATTCCTCTTATGATCCAGGACCACGCTATACACCTTTTGCGTGTGACCTGTAAGTCTGTGGACAACTTCTCCCGTTGACGTCTTCCATACCCGCACTGTGAAGTCATAACTCCCGCTCACCAATGTGTCACCATGTGCTGCGATCGCTCGGACCGAATGCTGATGACCTGTAAGAACACGAACGAAATACGGGCAATCGGTGTCGTCCGAGTGAGGTCCACTAGGATGATACTCAGGGTCATCAGGCTTCGGAAGTTTCCAGACTCGCAGATTGGAATCACGAGAACCTGTGATAATGAGTGGCTCTTTAGGCATCATCTCAGCAGAGCCATCCGCCTTTTTTCCCACTTCTGTTGGTAGGACAATTTGCAGGCAGCGTACAGTTGAGGTGTGCCCGTGGAAGACCTGGGTACACTTCGCTTTTTCTATGTCCCAAACTCTGACTGATCGATCGGTAGACCCAGAGACCAAAGTATTGCCGTAGTACTCGAGAGCCCAAACGCCACCCTCATGTCCTTCCAGGGTTGCTCTGAGAACACCAGTATTTGTGTCGAAAACATTAATATTTGTGTCATCACTTCCGGTCACAATCTTATCCGTGTCAAACTGCAAGCAAGTGACCACGTGATTACCGTGTGCCCCAAATGCAATATGTCTTGGTTTGACATCCGGTTTCATCCAAGCTTTGTGGATGGCATAATGACGCTGATACAGCGATTTGTAAAGATGAAGTCCTCGTAGGGTTGGCAGGCCTATTTCTGGGTACGGGATAGCGGCGGCGGCGGCACTCGCGGCAGCGTAAGGTCCTTCCGAGTTAGACACCTCTGTTCTCCAATCTGCGGATTCGGAATGATCAGTTCCACTTGAAGAAATCTTCCTCTTTGTTAATTTCCGGCTTGAGACACGTGTGACGGCTTTCCTTTTTGGTCGACGACTAAAAGACAATGCCATGTCACTTGACTCCGTAAGAGATACCGCAGTCTTGTTGTGGCCAGATTCCTCGTCAGACTGGAAGGATGGCAATGCACCTAAGTCTTTTTCATGGTCCTCGCTGCCGCTCGGGAACTGCCAGCCCCATCCTTCTCTGATTGCACGTTCCAGCTCTCCATCGGGAAGTTTGAAGCCATCTCGATCAAAGAGCTCTTTCCACGACTTCTCGTCAGAATTGATGATATGTCGCCATCGTTTGGACACCTGCGCGGCTCGACACATGGTCTGAACATCGAAATATTTGACGATATTGAGACTTAGCTCGGTCGGAAGAGCAGACAAAAAATCACACTTCAGGGCCGGATTGACAAGGTCTGCAACAAACTGCAAGGTCGGTTTGGGACAACGCTTGAGCAGCTGATGCATAACATACGGTTTCATCGGATCAGGAATCGCGTCGAAAAAATCCAGGATTGCAGGAATCTCCATTAGCGAAGCAGACCGCTGCGTAACAGACGATGAGGAGCTGCCGCCAGCTTGCTCAACGAACGTTGCCTTTGCTTGCACATTCCGCAAAGAACCTATCGCCTTGGTGTCATTATTGTCATAACTCGAGTCCGTGTCGGCTTCTGGATCTTCGGCAGAGTCGAACGAGGAATCGACGTTCATAGCGTTCATCGCAGCAACCGGGGACAGACTTGGGCTAGGTAAGCACATATCTTGTGCCACCACATTATCAATAAATGCCCGCTGTGTCGCTGATTCGCTTGGTAGATGCTGAGAATCGTCGTCCGGAGCACCATATCCAGAATCCTGACTTGCGGACGCCCCTAACTGGGGTCGATTGAGGCTTGATTCTGTGTCACTCCGAGGTAACGGCCTACTTCGGTCTGAGACCACGGTTTTGGTGCGGGACGGTTCTCTCCAAATATTGTCTCCTGGAAGAGTGCCTTGCGACTCAATCTCCGAGGACAACGGGGATCGTAGCAGTGTCTCTCTGCGAGGATTACTCAGACTGTAGACCCTCCGTCTGGGGATGACACCCTCCCCCGCACTGTTATTGCTTTCCGTGTCCGGAGTGGCGAGGCCAGCCGTCATAGCTTGTGCTTGCGTGGAGGCTTGAGAACGAAATGAACGAACTGAAGGCTCGGACGGAACTCTTTGGGAAGACGCATGAGTGATACGGTGACTATTCTCGATCGCGCGACGCTTCGATATGGAGAGATGGTTCAGGGGTTGAGAACGTCGGGCCAGTTGAGCATCATCTGAGGTGAATGAGGTCACGGATCGTACCATACCGTTCGAAGCGTTCAAAGCAACCGCCTGTTCGTTCAGCTACATGTTTTATATCAGTATATTCATTATAAAAAATCAAGACAAGCGAGCTAATTCAGTAATCACAGAGTGGAAATCAGACAAACATACCTCCTTCAACTTGGCAGCCGTGTCTTCGGGCTCGTGAAATATAACCTGTTTCCCACCGAGTTCGAACTTGATGTTTCTCAATGATGGGGGAGTAGGAGATGATGCCAAAGGATATAGCTTTGGGTCGAGATTCCGCATTGCATGAGGCGGCCTTAGAGGCACGGGTGGAAAAGTGGTGGTCGTGGTGGTCGTGGTCGTCACAACCGTGGTTTGGGTGGCAGGAGCAAACGAGAATTGTCCTACAGCTGCTTTGGGAGAGCCAGGGTCAAGACCATGGCTATTTTCGAGATCCTCCATGGCGTGTTTCCAGAATCCGGTGCTATTGTAGAGACGAGGTTCAGTATAGAGCACGGTCCGAGAATCTGTCGCGCTAAGAAAACGTGGTCAGGGCGAGCTCAAGGTCGAGAGTATGAAGAAGTATAAGGCATCGAAGATAGTCTCAGATAGTTGCGAAGCTAGTGCGGTGAATGAGATCTTTTTATAATGGGGCGAGGAATCGTAGTTTTGTGCGCGAGAAAGTCGGCTAGACTCTTGTCGAAGCAAAGTCGGTGTTAAAGAGGGTCGCCAACACGATACACGCCCATCAAAACCATTTGAGTGCCCAAGAGGATTGGGAAAAAGAGTCGTTAGAACATGTCCGTGCCAAGTAAGGTCGACTTAAGAGAAAAAAGGAACAGAGGTAGTGGGAGGTGTAAAAGGAGTGGGTTGGGTAAGGTTGGGTAAGGTTGGAAAAGCTGTGGCGTGCTTTGCTGACAAGGAGTTTGTTGTGAGGAGGGTAAATGAGGATAAGGGAGGGAGGGAGGAGTTGAGGGAGGGAGGGAATTAGAGGAGAGGGAGAGGGAGAGGAGACAGGCTGGGCTGGAGTGGAGTTGGAGGAGGAGAGAAGAGGGAGAGCGACTAGGTAGAGTTGGAGGTGGTTGGCGGGCGAGTAGGTAGGTTAGTAGGTAGTAGTTTGGGTCAGTGCCTTCTTTTCTGGTTGGAAGTTTACTTTACTTAGTCAGTCTCAAGTAGTCGAGATAAGTTAACTAACTTAACCAAGTTCTCCGTAATCAAGTAGCAAACCCAAGTAAGGTATCGAGGGTAGTCATCAAACACCTGGGAAC